TTGCCAACTTGTATTCTACAAGGTTTTCTCACAATATAACCAAGTTTGGAGTCTCTGATGTTTTCTGTTTAGGCTGTCAGCTCCAGGAAGAGTATTCAATTCAGTTTTATAGCAATTACAGTACTCTCTTCCACTTTGTGAGCTGCTCTGGTTAATCTAGACCAGGCTGTTGCCCTGTATTTCACTGCACCAGGTGTCACTACACTCAGTTCAGCCTCACTTCAGCTTCTGACTAAGATGAAGGCTGTCATGTGCCAGTTTCATCATCCCCTCTACAAACAACACATTTGACAGGTTAATATTGGTGCTTGAACACCAATATCCTTTTCTGATGGATGTTCTTTAGAAGTTTTCAGGCATTTGAAAGAAAAACAAAATGGAGGAGGCTGAAAATAGAACTGCAGCAAATGGAAAGAACCAGATTTCTGAGTCCAATCTGAACTATCTTAGAATTTTTTACTTTCATTGGGCACTATTGAGGAGAAAAACAGCACAATACTTCAATGTGTAACTTATTTGTGTTTACTAACACAGATAACAAGGCTTCTTACAGGTTGTCAGGTTTTAATTCTATATAGTTCTAAACAAGGCTAAAAAAGTTTTACTTCAGATGTGTCATAAACCAAGTAAGGAACTTTCAGCAATTTTTCGAGACAGAGCTTCCAGTTCCATTCAGTTAGAATCACATCAGCTAACTTTATACCTTTTTCAGTGGTGGCTGAAAGACATCTGAATCCCTGGAGTTTCCATCCGTACTGCTGGTCTCACTGTAATGGTCATTTTGTGCTTCTCTTAAAATAGAGAAACAGCATTAAGAAGAATTCACCTCACAGGAAACTTAAGATACAAGCTAGAGACAAAGTAAATACATCTGTTTCAAAAACTTCATATGCATGTTCACATACTTTTTTCCCCTTATGTCTTAATTTCTAGCAGTTGGTGTAGACAGAAGGAACCAACTCCTCACATTAACCCTGTTTGTCACAAGGGAAATTCCACAGCAGGGGAAGGTGCTGGTCCCTCTCTTCAGAAATAGCAGCATGCCAACACTGCATGTGGGACACAGCAAAATCGTGGCTAAATTAGAAACACTTTGTACACATAGTTATGCAACCAGGTATTAGCAGAGCTCTGGGAGCCCTATCCTCTTGTGCCTTTCTGAACTGAGAAACAAACACACTTTGCCCAAAAGAGATTGCTTAAGGTGCAGAGTACAATTTGTGCAAAACAGAGGAACAATGTGAGGGAGCCCAGCCAAACAGAAGGAAGTGTTAACTGATATCTCTCTCAGTTAAGGTCTGTAGGGTTTGGGTAGAGTAGTAATCCTTGCTGGTTGTCCATAAAGCAGTTGTAGAGCAGGTGACCTGCCAGGTGTTTTTGGCCAGGGGCAGAGTACTGCACCTTAGGAGTCTTTCATCTGATCCATCTATGCCACACTGCAGGAAACCCCAGCAGACCTGCTCCTGGAAGGCAGGAAATAGGAAATCCCTGCACCAGACCTCACCTCCACTACTTCTGCTGCCTTCACTAGGGCTAGACATCTAAGGTAGACCCATTCTTTTCTTTTTAATCTGCTTTATATCATAACTCAGTTAAAAATAGCAGTCATCATTTCAAACAGCTCTGAAAAACTTCTATAAAGAAAAATGAAACCTAAAGGTATTTTCATTTTTAGAGGAAAATAATTAATTCATAAAAAAATTAAAAGGTTGTATGAATAACTGAAGATGTTCTTTTGTTTTGGAAATTCCTTAAAATTTACTCCAGAAATCCATTAGACAACACTGCAACTTACTGTTTCCTGAGGCCAGCTGCAAGGACCATGGCACTATGATGGTTAAAGCGTTTTATGATGGCAGCATTGCTGCTTTCTCTAGCAGACTTTGAGGCATTTGATGTAGAGGCCACAGAAGCAACACCATAGCCCTGCAAAGAAAACAACATTCCTTCCCTCTTGGCTCCCAGAGCAGCAGGACAATTCTGTTTTCCCTGGAGTCAGGAAGCCACCTCCTCTGCATCATCACCATCCAGAACTGTCTTCCTAGTTTTGCCCCACCATTTCCTTATGTACTTTGAAAAATCTCCAGTGACTATTGCATTCTGCTAACACTTGGCAATTTAGAGGTGTCAGAGAGAAGGTAACAGGTCTTATATTGGTAATTTTATGAGACCATGATTTAAGTAAAAAGTGAACTAGCTTAAAAAAATTAAGGATAACCTGTGCAAAACAGGCATTGATGGTAAGGAAAAGACAGCAATTGTTTTACTGACTGATTTTTAACATTTAGTGGCACACCAGCAGCCTACAGGCTAAAATATACCTGTCAGGAGGATGTGATACCACTGGAAAATTCAAAAAACTTCAAGCTTTAAAATGCTGGTAGAGTTCCCCACTTGCCAGGTGGCACTTTACCCCATGGGCAGTTTCATGCTTGCTGTTCATCAGCCTCAAAAGCAAATCAGGGCAGTTTGCAGAGCACTTAGAACACATCTATCCTAAACTCATGGTCCACTTTCAGGCTGCTAGCTTTGGACAACTTCCACAAAAAGAAAATGAAAAAAGAAAATACAAAAAAAACCCACTAGAAAACTTAAAAATGCAGCTTCATTATTAACTACAACTGAATGGTTTCAGTTACATCAAGTGCAGAAAAGCACATCTCTCAGTTACTTCACATTATGGTACACCATTGATATGAATTGTTTTAACTTGTTCTTGGAGGCAGGTAATAATTCAAGTTAGTTGTAATTTTAGCAAAAAAAGGTATTTGAAGCTAAACAGAGAACACTGTATAAAGTGTCCTTCAGTTAGGCTGAATCAAGTATTAGTGTTCAAAGTAAGAAAAAAATCAAAGACTTTTCCCTGGTTTGTGCTACTCTTCTGTACATTGTCACAGACTCTTAAAAGTAGGAAAAAACCAGAGTTCACTTTAGACTGAAAAGCCAACTGAAAGAGCAATTCTTTAAAGAAGGGAAGTCCTGTATTGACCCCCTGCACACCAAGGCAGATGTGACCACACAGGTCCATGGGCACAGTCTCCATTTCCCTTCACACACACAACAGCAGCACTGTTGAGTACCCAACCACTGCAACTGCCTAGTAAGGGACTGTTTTTAGAATTAGTATCTGTAGTGGTTTTAAAAGTAATATCCACATAAGTGTAACTAAGGAAGGGGTATGGTTTTCTTTTGGATTTTTTGTTTGTTTTCTGTTTTGTTTCCCCAAGTACTTACTTCATCTAATGTTTTATCTTCCAAAGCTGTTAAATCTATCAGAGGGTTTTTCACTCCTTGAGACACCATTGCTTTTAACCCTGTGTGAAACAAAAAATCATGAAAAAACTGTATCTAAACAAATAGCATAACATTGGGATCATTAGGTTATATTTAATCTTTAAAAGAAGACAGACATTCAAAAGAAGACAGGCCCAAATAACACTGGGACTAAAACCCTTTAAACCCTTTGAACTCTAAACCCTTTTAAAAGTTCCATTTAAAATAAGTAATAAATGTGGGAAGTTACTCCAAAACATCTTCCTACTAATTAGCCCAGTTTTCACCAAGTTCTACACATCACTGAACACTGATTAAAAAAATAAATTGAGATGCAGTTATAGTAGTGGGATCTGGGAAGCCAAAATTGCATTTCTTCTAATTTTGGCACTGTTCTGCTGTCCTGCCTGGGCAGTATGATCAGTATGACAGTTTCTATCTGGTGATAGCTTTGACTTGTCAAGGGTTTTGCATTCCTAATAGAAAGCTTTCAATACATACTATGGAATGGTGGTAAGTGATCCCAACTCTCCACATTTTGGTATCATCACAAACCTATCTCTAAAGTTCCTAAAAAATTTGAGTCAGATAATATGTTATTATTTCAGATTAAAAAGACTGACAGAGAAGAAGGATGACAATTCCTCTGGGAAATCTGGGCAAACAGGAATCTCATTTACTAAAACCCCAGCTATAACAAAAGCTGTACCTGTTGTAAATTGTGCACGTACTACAAAACAAAACCTATTATGTACACAGAATTATTCCATAGTAACTCATGGCACATAATCAGTCTACCAGGATGGCATGCTATGGAATTTGCAGTAAAGCTTCCATCTAGTGCTGCCACTTTCCAAAGGTAATTTGTTCCAAGAAATGCTCTCACTATGAAACATGCTCAGAATGGCAAAGTTGTAGCTAACTTGCCATGACCATCTGTAGTTTTCAGAGACAACCAGCTTACCTTTCTCATCCAGTTTGGCACATTCTGCAAAGAGGTCTTTTGAGCCTGTATTGAGCCTGTCCCGATGAAAATAATGAGACTGAAAAAATCGTGTCCAGAATTCCCTCTCAGTCATGTTATGTGGAACATTCTCTGCATATTTCATTTTTACTGTGAACAAAACCCAAAACAATTACAAACTGTTCCACAAATCTTAACGTGGTATTTTAGATCACCATTTCCTTGATGGCTTCCTTGCTTTCTGGCTGCTTCCATTCACTCCCATTAAATGCAAGGGACTGCAGTAGTTAAGCATGAGTGAACAGGTACTCAACTTATGCCTTTAAAGCTTTGAAAAGTACAGGTAACAGTGGCCTGAACACTCCTGAATTGCCCTCACACTAGGGGCCAAAATGAATCAGTGTCAGTGTTCATTACAGTGGATGGGAAATGATGGAAAACAGGTTATTTTCCTCCCAAAGGTGATTTCATGAAAAATAACAATTAATTAGAACACTGAGTAGGAGACTGTCGTAGAAATCAAACAAAACCAAAAGTCAACACAAGTTAAAATGTTTTCATTTAATAAAATCTCAGATGAACATTTTAGTCTTTCCACAGTAAAGCAGTAAAAAGGCCAATCTTAAATGGATGTGTTTGGTCTGCAAAACTCTGCTCTTACCTGCAGGGTATGTCCGAAATATGGATTCGATAATATCTGAAGTCAGGTTGTACCTCAGCCCGTTGCAGCCGTCTGTCTGAGGCCGTACATCAGCCTGAGAAAAAGCACACAGGGAAAAACCAGTCATGTCTGCAGCTTTCTCTAACTGGAGAAGGAAAAGAACTGGAATCTTGCAAGCAAAGTCTGATGCAGGTAAAAAAATCTTCTTCCTCCAGTAATCCATAGTGTATTTGATCGTACATAGGTATTTTAGAATGAGGAATGAACAGGCAAACATGAATTATTTTCTTATACTTGCCATTTAAGGGATGATTTAACAAGCAGACTGCAGGCTTCAGAAAGCAAAGAGCACTCAATTGGTCAAAACAAGGTATGCTTAATTAATTTATGCTTATCCTTGTGTCAAAGTTAAAATAAGTAAGCATATGCCTCATGTTTTATTGTTCACTCAACAATTCAGCCAGTGAATGATCAGTGGCTATAATGAAGTGACAAAAAAGGACTTATGGCTCTTATTCCCTTATAATATAAGTATACACAGTTGTATACTAAAAACATCTTAGTGTAACTGATAAGTAACACTGAATTTAAAGCCTAAGGATTAGCCTTAGTCAGAACTTTGATCTCAGTGATCTCTTTAGGAAGCTCTGGAGGAGGAGTGCTCTGTCCAGTTCTCAGAAACAGGAAAAGTACATGATTGCACAGCCTGCTGCCTTTTCCTCCTTTTCCTGTGTACCTCAAGCCTAGCTTTTGTACCATCATCTTCATAGGCTAACATATTCTGAGCAGAGGCAGTCAGATTCAACTTGAATTGGGACACACAAATATTTAAGATATCTTCTTCACAAATGCAGAGAACACAAACATAACCAGGTGGTTTAAGAATGTTTTAGTTTTCAAGATTTGGTGGGTTTACCTTTCATTGTGGTTTCTTTTTTTTAACATTAAGGTGTAATAATAACGGGAAACAGGAAATCAGAGCAATCAAATTTGTCTGGCAACTGATTTTGGTATTTCCACAGGGGAAAAAAAATCAAATGGTTGTACAGCAGCTAAATTAAACCAATTCCTACCTCCTCTTTCCCTCCCAAATCCACTGTGAGCACAGTCATTACAAAGGTGGAAGTGGGATTCCATCTAAAGAGTCCTGTGAGTTTTGTTGCAGAAGCAGAAACATGTCTCTGTGTGAGCAATCTGATGTTGTACCTAGATTACTTTTAGACTGCACTGATTTACTCAAGCACAATTTCTACAAAGGGGTAAAATAACTGAAAGTTAGAGAAAGAAAGACAGAAAATGAGCTTCCAGACACACAAGTTGTTCTTCAAGTAGCTGAAAGCACGTACTGGTTTAAAAAATTGGGGAGGGAATAAAATCCTATGTGAAAAGGTTCACTTATGCATGTCAATGCTGCCACAGATATGCTCTTTAATTTATTGAGCTCATACATTTTAATCTAGTGACCATATATTCACATCACTCCTGTTTTACAGAAGGCAGAGCAGCAGTACAAACATCATCTGCCTATTGGCAATGTGAAGTTCAAATTGCGCATCTTCAACTGACAAAATGTTGAGGTTGCAGATTAGAAGGAAACCTTTTTTTTTCTCCTTTACACTTGGAAAAGCAGAGAGATGTTGAGGAACCAGCAAAGTTCATGTATATGGGAATAAAGTGCATGAGCAGAACCCCAATTTGTTTGCTCTAAAATCCTATAAGTTAAAGGTTCAACATACCAGGAATGCTGCAGAGATGCCCACATCTTGTTTATTAGGTGCTGCAGAATTATCCCCTGCATTCAGGCTTAAACGGTTGGCCCAGAATTCTTCAGCACTGATTACTTGGCTCACAACAAGGTCTTTATAGAGCTGAAACAAAACAGGATCTTCTTGCAGCATTCTGGTAAAAGAATGTATTGAATAGAATTGAAACACTGCAGAATAAATCACTAGTATTTCCACAACTAACACAAGTTCACAAAAGGAACAGAAACCAACTTTTCTTTCAAAATGCTGTGCATTTCTTAACAAGACTGTGTAAACAACCAATGTCAATAGCACTGCTTGTCTGAAAAGACTTAAGAAATGGATGTTAATACTGAAAGTTAGAAAACAGTAATGCCTAAGAAAAACTTATTGTGGGATTCATGTCTTGTCCTAAAATGTTCTGAGATGCTTTTGTGTCTTTGCACACCAGGACTGGAATCTTCTGAACTGTAAAAGCACAATGAATATTCTTGCTGTTCCATAACAGAAATATAATGAGGGAGGAAAAAAGGAGATCTGAGTGCTGTCCAATTCTTGGTTTAAGATCTTAAAATTCAGTAGCTACAGAGCTCTATTATAGTGCAAGAGTATAGATCACAAAATATGTATGGGATAAGATCTCTTAAAACACACTACTCCAATGGTTCATTTATGTTTCTGTGGTAGCAGTAGGATCTTCATCCTTTAATCAGATAATCAGACACAGCACAAGTATGAGACACGTTCTGTGTCACTACTTCCACCAGGGAGCATTGTTTACAAAAGTTATCATCCACATATCAGGTATCACTACCCAAAATGCAAAGACTGTGCATCTGAATCTTCACTCATGCTTAAGCAGCTGTTTTTACAGCTGTGTACCTTATCAGAAACCCACTGGGCTATTTTCAGGGAAGCATGCATGTGTGTTCACAATCTGCCAATAACCCACCAGTCTTTAGCTTGTACCTCAGGGTCCTGATCAATTGCAAACAATGAAAAAAACCAGGAGTCTTATGGATACATGGTCTAGGGATGAACATGGGTAAACAGCAATCTGAACAGAACGAAAGCCTTTAGCTGCTCTAAGGACAAAGCAGGATGAGGTGGAAGTGAAAGCTTTGTGACAGGATTATGTTTTAACCAGCAGGGTTTCTCCAGTTTTTCTTATTGTCACAAGTATGGATTAGTGGCAATTCTTACAAATTAGTGCAGCTGAAAGCAGTCTGTTATTCTTGTTATTTCATTAAAGCTTGGAATTTTGATACATACTCAACTCCCACATATCAACAAATGAAAGAAGTGCCATGGAGGAGGAAGGACTCTGGATGTTGTACCCTCCCACAACAGGCTGGATCTTTTCTGCCTGATCTGTTGCAATCAAGCTAATGAAGCCCCATCAGCAGGCTTGGGCTTCTAATCAAGAGAAGAAACTATGGCCGAGTAGGTGCAGGGATTCTGGCTTTTCTGTAACTAGAAAAGCTCCTGATACTTCATGGTGTGATGCTGTAAATCTCCATTTAAGGAGGCAGCGATTCAGAGCTAAGACTGCCCGTGCTCTCAGCACCAATACTGTCAGAAAAAAGGCACATAGCATAAAGAAATGAGTATGGGAACAGTGCCAGTGCAGGCTGCACTGCTGCAGACCCTAGTGGCTGCTGCAGTACTGGAACCAGTTAATCCTGGTTGTGTCACAGCTCCAGCACAAGGGCTCTTGCTCTTCTGCTGGGAAATCTCCTTGGACAGATCCAGTCTGTCCCATGAGGCAATGCTCTCATGTTTTGAAAAATCTACGTTCAGAGCTAGAAGAGTCTTTGGAAATGGAAGCCATAAACACAGGATTCACAGCAGACACTAAAATGAAGTGAAATTTGTCAGGGGAGATGCAGAGAAGAGAGCTCTGTGGCCACAGGAATTGGATTAACAAACATGTTAAAGGAACGGAAATGTATCTCAAGAGCCCATATGGGAAAAGGACTTAGGTCCTCAACATCTTCTCAAACAATTTCTTAGAGTAAACATCCTGTATGCCAAATAACAAACTGCAGCCTCTCAAGTGAGATGCATGAAAATACCTAGCAATTTAGTAGTCTATAAAACATCAGGAAAGATTTGAGGGGCAAATGGGGCTTTATGGGGAGGAAAAAAAAATCACCAGGCTCCACAAAATTTCTGGAAAAGGAAAAAAGAATCTTTCAAGCAGCTTTTCTAACTGATACATATATATTTAAGAAGACTAAAGAGACAGGCTGCCAGTTGGGTGCTCTCCTCTCATAGCTGTGGATAAGAAAGACCGGGTGGCAGCCAGACTGGCTGCCTTGACACCTCAAGAACGTGTCACTAAGCACACAAGTGTAGTCTCAACATGTGACAGTTATGCAAGTCTCATGGAACTGCCTTGAAATTGAAAGCAGGGAGATTTTTACTAGGGAAACAAATGCTGTATCATTCATGATGGTGAAATAACAACACATGTTAACAGAAATACACAACAGTTAGCTAACAGATAGAAGAAAAAAACCCAACAGACTTTTAGGATGTTATCCCTTTACCTGTTCTTCTCCTCAAGTTCTTTATTAGCTTTCCTTTTGAACTTGGGCAAGAGCTGTTGTAGAAGATCCTTGACCGCATCTCGCTCCTTCACTGCTGTGCTTTCATTGGAGAAGTGGAAGTTGGTTGTGTCCCCTGCATGCAATACCAGCTGCAGCTGAATTTTAGCTTTACCTTCTGGACTGATTTTCTGGCCTAGATTGCAGAGAGACAGACAGTAAGCTTATACAAGAAACTGTCTTCCCTAGAGTATTTGCTTATAAGCAGTTATTCTCATCATCCAATTAAATACCATTACCCTGCATGTGAATTGCAGCTGTGAAAATGGAACAGTCAGTCTTCCCCTTGAATTAGATTGAATCCTGCACCTTGTTCACTCTAAAATACAAGACACAGACAGTAACAGCCTGTTGCTTAATACCCTTCAGCTCTTGAACAGGAGTCCTGATTCATCTTTGTATTCCCCACAGGATCCATTAGAAAACTGCTGCAAATGAGGCTGTCATCACCTGGACACTTTAACCTGGAAGCAGTCCAGGCTGCTGCTGAAAGGTGACCTCATTCCCCCTTTCCACTTCTTCCTGCTGCATTTCTTGTGTGATGGCTAGTGTTTGTGCAGAAAGCTAGCAAGGAACTGATCCACTGAAAAGCACCCCCTTTTGTTTTTGCAGCTGGCCCAGCTCCTGCAGAAGGACAGTGGTAGGAAAGCAGAGGTAGGATGGGTAGGAGCACATCTGGATCCCAGTCTCCAGTGATGAGCTAAGTGCAGTTAGCCACTAATGCTCCCCAAATTAATCACCAGTGCCTCCAAGGTACTACTACATCCTCATGAGTCATAAGAAGAATCTAATTCCTGCTTCCATCTTCATAACCAGAGGGAGCAGAGGCTGGGACACCTATGCTTATGGACTGTTGTGCTATAGTGACTTTAGTGAAGCACTGCAAATGGCACTAACCTAACTTTTAATAGCAGCCTTTTCTCTAAAGCAAGTGGGAGACAGGAACCAGATGTCAACACTAAATAACCTTCTCTATTACAAATTTACAAAAACATCTCATCCTTTTTTTATTTCAGATGACAAAAAGCACATCTTTCATCTAAGTTAAAAATACTTCAATGCCTATATATGTGCATATTTAAAATACAAGGTGCTTAAGTGTGAGTTAATAGCTAAATAAAACCTTCACAAAGTTGATTATTACAGGTGAATGGGGCTTTTAAACTTCTTATCACTTTCATATTTAAGAAAATATCATCTTAGTTCTGATTCATCACACACTTTCAATCATGCTGCAGTGCCTATATGTGACTTTAAACAGCAATAATCACTAAACCATTACAAAGTGACACATACAACTCACTTTTTATTCTTACTTTGGCATTAAAGCACGTGATATTAAGCACTAATTGGAGCCAGAAAGGCAGCATGCTATAAACATCTACTGTTTAGTTTTGACTTGCAAGTACTCTGCTGTTGCAACAGCAAATGCTTATTCAGAGTGTTAGCAGCTAGGCCAAACTACAGAAGCTGACACTTCTGAAGCTATGGTCTGTTGGATGAAAATAAAACAGTTCATTTTATATGAAAATCGAAACAGCTTTAGATACTGAGTTAAACAGATGACATGCCAGATAGTTTCTGTGTTAGACTGAAAATCCTATATGCTTCCTTGATCCTCCTGCCACCCTTCCCTCTACAAGCATATGGCATGGATTATTTTTCTGTCCAATTTATTGCAGAAGTTTATCAAAGTTAATAGTAAATGCAGCAGATGTAAGTTAAACATCTGAAGACTGCAGAAGTTCTGTGGTAGCATCCTTAAGGTGGTGCTACTTTACCAGTCCTGATCTCTGCTGCTACCGAGAAGCCTGGCCAGAGCTCCAGAGCCCTGACACCCCTGAGGCAGCAGCAGCCAGCAGGCAGGGCAGGTGAGCTCTGGGTGGCACTCAGGTATCTGTGGCACTGAGTGCAGCAGGCAGCGCTCACTCACATTTGATGTCTGCATACATGTGGCTGACGGTGAAGCGGTCCTTGCCCTCGGGAGCCCAGGCAATTCGTTCGGCCATCAGGTACAGGGCCCCATCCTGCTTCTTCTGACGCACCTTCTTCACTATCAGCAGCACTTCTTCCGACGATGTTGCCATTGCGGCTACAACGAGCTGTGAAAAACATACAGTTGAGCTGATTAGCTGTGCTGTAACTCTTTCACTACTCCTATATATATTAAAGTATTATTTGTTTATGCCTATATCATTTTGGGAGTATTTCAGATAATTGTGCTCCCCTCTTTCAGTACAATCAGCAAATTTCTTTAAACAAAATACTCCCACCTACCTAAAGAATTCATCTAATTATATTGCTGATACTACTTTTGATCCACTAAAAGACCCACAAATCTTACTAAATTTTCCTGTTTTATTGTCCTTTCACTGGTTTTTCTAGTTCAGAAGAATACTGAAGCTAAGCAATGACGAATTCCAAATCTTCTCTGGTACTGGCAGCAATTCCCTGCTTCAGCGAGAATGGCAGATGCTAAGTCATTTCAGAAAAGGGAAGGATACAAGGTATGTGAAAAACCATGGATTTTCAGTTCACTGTGCTAAAGATAAGGTAGCCCAGTAAGACTCAGGTGTTATTGTGGTGGCTTTTGCCCGTGGCTTGAACAATGTTTTGTACACTTGACTGCAGCTGGCCAGTCCCTCTCCTCCAAAGTCTGAGGAACTGATGTTACATGTACAACAGCACAATCATAATTCTGTCAGCAGGCTCAGACTTTGGATTCTTGCTGCATTGTTCTCCCCAGCAGTCACTGTCATTCCTCTCCCCAGGTTCACACTACAGCCTTAAATTCTTCAAGAGATAAAAGATATGGTGAGTATTATTATACTCTGTCAAACAAAGCTTGGCACACTTATCAAAAGTGTACATCTTTTTTTGGTAAGTGTTGGTACACTTATCAAAAATGTACATCTTTGCTGAAAATGTTTAATATGTCCAGTTGCTGTATTTTGTGTATCATAAATTTTGTGTATCGTAAACTTTACTACTGACATGCAAAATAATATTTTTCCAATGCTAATGTGGATGTTGCATGTGCTTCAGAATACCTATATTGATGGGATGCACACTGAAGTTCAGATTATAACCTGCATCAGCTATCACACTACTAGTAGGTATCACAAAATGGTAGTTCTAAGCATTTAAATTCACATACTTCTTTTTTTTCTTAAAAAACCCCCCAAAACAACAAAACACCAACCAGCAGCAAGACAAGACATTTTATTCTGACAGTCTGGACAGTAGCACAGCATTCTCTTCTACAGAAGTCTTTCAAGCTCCTGTGCAAATGAGTTAAGTAAAACACTAGATGGAAAGACATAATGGCAAAAGGGCTCTGCACTTACACTTCACTCCTTCACCATTCCAGCCATCCAAGGCTTTGCTAAAGAGTTCAGTCATGCTGAGCTGAATGTGGGGTTTCACATCAGCACCACTGCAGCAGTCACTAGAACACACTGTGCCACATTCAGAGCATCCCTGGTAATACTTCTTTCTCAAAGAAAACTGCGTGGCATGATTTCAGGACTGTTCCCTAGCTAAATCCATTACAGTTTCCCAGCAGCACTACTCCCTTTCAGTGCTATTCACACAACCATTTTATGTAGTTTCCTGTTGTGGGTCTGCAGTCTCATCAGCACTTTATCCTTAGTGGAAAAAGGCAGCTGGCCACAGACTCTCAGAGACTGGGAACCTCACCATGTGCAAGACCAGGGATTTGGTGGTTTTCTCCCTTTGTTACTTTATAGTCCTTTTAAGGTCATTATTATCCAACGCGATGGAGGCAAAGCCACGGAACACAAAGGAATTCAACCTGTACAGAACAGCAAGGAAAAGGAAAGCATTCCCACAGTCAGGCTCATTTTGATGCCAGCTGCTCTGCTTTTCTATCATGCCATTTCACCTACCTACACCCAGTCTTTCAACTACAGAAGCAAAGAATCAGCAGCTACCAAGTTCTCCTTCAGAGCCCTTCTAGTACCTGCAGTGTGCAATCTGTGAGAGCACAATTATCCCACAAGTGGCTCATTCCACCTTCTGGGAGGGCGAGCACATGGCTCATGCTGTTCTTCTTTCTGTCACTGCTGTACTTCCTTTTTCCTGCAGTAATTTACAGTGGCAGTGGGATGATATAACTCACAAGCACAGTAAGCATTACCCAAAATGGAGAAAACCCTGAGCTGTCTTTTGAACAGTACATCAGAAAGAATACAAAAAAATGTTAATAATAGGGATTTAGGAAGGTTACCGTCTGTCACTAATGGAAACAAAATGGCTTCGTGTTACAAGAAGTACAGGAAAAATTCTAAAACAGGAATCTTGCTTCAAGATTTCATTCTCTGTCTCCTACAGGGAAGGCTACATCCCTGCTAAGCAAAGCACACACACTCAGCTTTTTTTTTTTTTTTTGGTATGTAAGGCTTACTATGCAGCAGAGAGCCATCAATGATGTACTTGCTCCTGTCCAAATCTCATAACCTCTACATTTAACATCTGAAGCTTCCAGGAATCAGTACTATGGATGATGACACTGCTGCTGTGCAGGGCAAGAACTGACACATGCACACAGACAAACGCTGTTATTTTGTGGCTTTAAGTGATAATTTTAACCTGCTACAGCATTAGTGTTCTTCAGCAGCTGGTTCAAGTATGAATAGGAAGGTCAGAAAATTTATTTTAAATTTTGCAGCAACAGAGCTTGGTCAACATTTCTAAAAGCACTCGGATCAACCAGCATCCCTAACAATGAAGTACAACTTGTCATCAGGCCTGTCTGGGGGCTGTTAATTTCAGCTGCAGTGTACAACAGGCAAGGTCCATCAGGAAGCTTCAGTGTTGGCATAGACCAAAAGAAATGTTCTGTGTGCTTATCCACCTACAAGCCCTCCCCTCACAGCTCTGTGGGAGCAAAGAGCTTCTGGAAATACCATCCAATTCCAACAGCTATCTTTCCTCCATTGCAGGGAATCTTCCTAACCACTCTTCTCTTAAGATACAGTACCTCTCATCTGTTTTTTACAACACCTGTTCTGAACGCTCTCTGTCACCAGCACTTTTCTCCAGTCTTTTTCCATATGGTTATGTCGAGTTCTGAGCAGAAATAAAGGAAACGTTTGCACGTTTTAATAATCCTGACTTGGCCAGGGTGGGGAGGGGCTGGCAGGCAAGCTCTGACAGATCAATGCAGGCCTTTCTGCTGCTGGGCTTCCGCTCCCCGCAGGCAAGAGCAGAACCACGGAATATCTGTGCCAATGGCCCAGGCTGACCCGCAGCGGCACGGGGACGCTGCCAGCTCCGGGCGCGGGCAGAGCAGCGCCCCGCGGGTGGCGGCGATCTGTCAGCGGGACGGAGAGGCGGCAGCAGTGCCGCTTGTCCCGGCACACCGGGGGGATGCACGGTGCTGAGGGGCCAGCCCGGCCTCCCCCGATCCGCATCACCCACGCTCCGGGAGGGTTGTCACCCTGCCACGAGACCGGCCCGAGGACACCGCACGGTGCCGGCGGGGAAGGCGCTGCCACGGCACCTCTTTGTCTGCCGCCCGCAGCAGCGGGCCGAGCGCGGGGCCAAGCCCGGTGCCCCGGCAGCGGTGCCGCCAGCAGAGCGCTGCCGTATCCCCGCCACCGCCCGTGGCCCCGGGGAGCGCAGATCGGCGGTGCCGCCGCCCCTTTCGTCCCTTCCCTCACCGCGGCTCCGGCTCCGGCCCGGCCACCGTCACACGTCCGCCGGGCAGGAAGGAAGTGCGGGAGGCCAAAGGCCGCCGCGGCACCATCGCGACGCGGTCCCGCGGCCCCCGGGGACGGATTGCCGGGGCAACGCGGCCGTGAGGCGGATCGGGCCCCGCGGCCTGCCCGGAGCCGTCATTCCCCCGCGCCCCGCGCCGGCGGCTCTTACCGTGCGGGCTGCGCCGGGAGCTGCTCCGAGTGCGAGCGGCACTACGGGGGTCGGGCCGCGGCCGCCGCCGGGGCCATGGGGCGGGCGGGGCGGGCACGTGACCGGAACGGGCCGCGGGGCGCCGGGGGTGGGGCCCGCACCACGTGACAGGGGAGCGGCTCCGAAGCCGCGCGTCCCTGGCGGTCACGTGGCGCCGGCGCCCCTCCCGGCCCCCGCCCCGGTCACGTGACGACCGCTCCCCCGTCGCCATGACGGCGGCGGGCGGAGGGGCCAGTTACACGGCAGTAAAACGGTACCGCCACTGCCCCCCCGCCCCCATCCCCGCCGCGCCTGGCCCGGCCCGTTTCCCGCCGTCACCCATCCGCGCGGGCCCCGCTCGTCGCCCGCCATCGGCCCTGGCGGCCCGTCCTGCTCCGCTCCCGGGTCGGCGGCGCCGCCTCGCTGCGGGGGAGGGGCCTCCCCTCGGCCCCGGCCCGCGCGCCGGGAGGGAGGGGGCGCCGTGCGCGTCACGGCGTCACGTGGCGGGCGGGCGGCTGCGCGCGCGCGTGACGCCGCTTCCTCCTTCTCCTCCCCCTCCCCCTGCTCCTCCTGCTGCTCCCGCGCGGGCGGCGCGTGATGCGGCGCGGAGCGGGCGCGCGCTCCCGCCCCGCCCTCCCGCGGGTCACGTGGGCGCGCTGTTTGGAGGCGGCACCGGGAGCGGCGCCGGGAGAGCGCGGAGCGCGGTGAGGGAGCGGCAGGGCGAAGGAGTAGGAGCGAGTCGTGGTTCCTGTGCCCTGCCCGGGTTCGGCTCCCGTCCCCTCCCCGCGGTTTCTGAAGGGGTCGGGGGGTTCCTCTGTCCTTTGCGATGCTGCGCCTTGCTCCGGGTGCGGCAGGCAGGGTCCCGCGGGGTCGCGGCTCAGCTCAGGCCACACCGGCGGGATGTGGCACGGAGCGGGCACGGCAGAAGTGGCCATTAAGGTTTTTAAGACGCTTTGAGAATTTACAAGCAATAACTTTTAGTTTCGCTGGCTAAATGTGCCTCTTCCCTTTTCCTAGTGCCTGGTGAGAGTGAGCGCTCGCTTTCCTTTAGAGGAAATGTAAATTCCCCCCATGACAGCTTTTCTGGGAGGGAGTTCCTTAATTTATGGGACCGCATCCTAAAGGGTACTTAGAAATTCCCGGACTTGCCTGTGCAGTGTAACAGGTTTAGCGTTTTGTTAAGCAACGTACAAGTTTAAACTTTAAACTCCACGAGAAGTTATTTTGAAGTATGTGCTGCTTAGGAAAAATGCGAGGTTGCAATTTCAGTGGTTATTTAATTCTTGGATATCACTCTGTGTTATCTGTTGAATGTGGGAAAAGACATTCAGTGGAGAGGATAGCTTATCATTGTATCAAAATGCACAAATGCAGCTAATTTAGTATAACTTTAGAATAATGGTCCCTAAATTTAGTATAACTTGAGAATAATAGTCCTTAAATTTACTTTTGGGGGAAGATATGATATAGTTATAAAATGCCAATGTTAAATGTTTTCCTTGAGAAAATTATTTTCAAATCAAGATTGCATGCTGTGGGGAAAAGTGAATTTTTCCAGAAAACAAGGTGTGTGTTAACTTTTTTTCACAGACAGGTGTAAATATAACTACAGTCTAAATATTTCCAGGTGGGTTATCCAATAGGTTAAGTTTTCAGAAAAGAACTCGAAGAAAAACTTGTCATAAATGGAGCAGTGTAGTAAACCCCTCAGAGCAGGAGTCTTATTTTCCAGCCCTTGGGCCTCTTTTTGGTGAACTGAAACCTGATGGTTTTTGAGTAGGAAAACGCTTGGTGTTTCTTTAAGCACAGAACACCAGCTCAAATGAAAAGAAAGTGAGCTAATGAAGAACTTTATTTTTGGCAGGTGCAGCTAAAAGCTGAAGCCATAACACACCCATGAGTGAGCAGCACTAGTCGTGTGCATCCATGGCCTCTGTGCCAGTAATTCCAGACTCTTACAACCATGTCTTGGCAGAGTTGGAGTGTTTGGATCCATTGCTTTCTGCACTCAGGTTGGATTCCAGTCGTCTTAAGGTGAGTTTGTGGTGTATGGGTTTTTTTTAGTTTTAAAATTTAAAGTAATGACCCCATTTGGCTAATTATTTGATTAAGCTATAGGATTAATCTAATTCTTTTTGGGATGTGTGCATATCTTAGTTGTGGGGGGGGGAGTACTTTGGGAAGAAAGAGTGAAGATAATGAACCCTGTTGCTCTGTGTGTGTTTCCTTCATGCAGCTGTGGGTGCCACAGCCTGGCACAGCCCACACTGATTGTTTAATGATCTTCACTGCCAGTGGTTCAGGAGTGGCACACACAGCTGGCAAACAATGAAGCCTTTAAAAAACCCACCATAATAATGCAAGAAAAAGATGCTGTGATCAGAACTTACCAGGTCATGCATTTTGATTTTTATTCCCTCAGTGCACATGTATAGATGTGTCAAAGAGATGGCTGGCTCTAGGCAGCTCAGGAGGAGGACTGAACCTTATCCAGAAGGATGGTTGGAAGCAAAGACTCTTTCTCACTCACAAGGTAAGGATGAAAATTTTTAATGAAAATTTCCAAAAATGAGGCTAGAAAAGAAACATTATTTCAAGTTAATGTATTTTCTGAGTGCCTTCAGCTTATTTAGGTGCCTTCAGCTTATTGGGTTGTCCAAGGAAGGTGAAGTTTTGGACTGCTGTGTTTAAAATAGGTTGTGGTTCTGGAGGGTATCCCCAGAGTATGTGGTATATTAGATTTCATGAGGTGTGAAAAATATTACTTCAGAGTGTCAGACCTTTGTTTTTCAAATTCTTACTTTTTAACAGCAGTAGCAAAGTTCCCTGAATATTTAAGGATTAGAAGAAAATTTTGAATATGAAACCAGAGCAACTCACAAGTAGCTAACTGCCAGTGTTTGAGTGTTAGAACTGTGGCATACCTGGATAAGTAAAGATAGACTGACTTACTGTTGCTGGAAGAGATTGTGAAACAGGGATTGTTATTTGTACAGCCAGGAGCTATTTCCTAGGAGCCACTGCTGCTTCCAGTATGGCATGAATGCAGCCAGTTTTTTAAGGCTGGGAGCACCAAATGTAATTCTGTCAAAACAGCTTCCAAAGGTGTGAGGACAGAGCAGTGATTTCTGTGCTTCCCAAATCAGAGAACGCACTGCAGTCCTTGCTCTTGATTTTGTTGTGCTGTTGTCAGCTCCATATTGGAGTAAACTCAGTGTTTGCAAACAAAACCCAAGCAAACAGGAAGAACCAACCACATCACAGCAGGGTGGTAGCATCTGTTGGCATGAATCTGGTTTATGTCTAAAGGTGAAAGCTGCACGGGGGTAGTGGCAGTACAGAACAAGTTTCACCTGCTCTTACTGCCCTGCTTGCTTTCAGGAAGGTGCCATTTCCAGGGTGGCCTGTTGTTTGCATGATGAAGACTATGTTGCTGTTGCCACCAGGTGAGTGGTCTACTCACAAACCTGAGCACTGGGTTAGTATTTTTAAGAAGCTTCAAGTTGCAGATGTGGACAGCTGCTGAGAACTCAGAGTTAATTTATCAGGTTAACTGGTAGAGGCCACTACAGGATAATTCTCTGCACAGACAGTTTGCCTTTTTTTTTCTGGAGTAGTAATTCTAGGTTAAGTATTATTTCTGTAACTGAACATCTGTGGCAGAGCTCATGCATGTGAAATTATGATGATAAGTGTCTTTCTGAGACCTTTCAGCATAAAAAGAAGCATTTTCATTAACATGGTAGAGTGAGATTTATAGTTAATTCCACTTATATTTATTAAAATCGATTTAAATGTTTTTCCACATCCTCACTTGCAAGTGTAATAACTGTAAGAATAGCCTTACAAAGCTGCTTATACATTGCAGTGCAAAGAAGGACACTTATTCTTCTGCAAAATTAAGTGTGACACTTATTGAAACTATGCAGCCTCAAACAGAACCAGCTCTGAGGCATGCTGCTTTGCTTGGGTCTCCTCTTTCTTTGGGAAAAAGCATCTTTATTAACTGATAAAACTTTGCAAGACTTATTTTCAACCTGTATTCTCCTTTTAACTTGTTGTAGCCAAGGCCTTGTAGTGGTGTGGGAGCTGAACCAGGAGCGTCGTGGGAAGCCAGAACGGATTTATGTTTCCTCTGAGCATAAGGGCAGGAAAGTCACAGCTCTGTGCTGGGATACAGCTGCCCTTCGAGTTTTTGTAGGAGATCATGTGGGGAAAGTATCAGCAATCAAGATTAACACCTCGAAACAAGGGAAGGTAAAATGTTGCATGCTTTGATTGAGCTTCATTCACAGGGGGTGATGTGTGGAATCTCTTTGTTTATTTTGCCAAAGTGGAACAGAGCATCGAAGTAACTAATTAAGCTAATTAAGTTCTGGTAGCTTTAACTATTGGGATGAAGAACCAGTCTCTTGACACAACCATAGAAATCCTGACCCATGAACTCACCCCATCCTTATTCTGTCTATTTTGGTAATGCAATTTGAAAATGCTTTCAAATGTTCAGAATTAAAAACTGGTCAATCTCCTGCTTCTTGGAATTTACAAGTATCAAAGTTAAGGGTCTTGGTGTTTCTGAGCTTATTGGATTCTTTAGACTCCAGTTGCAGATTCAGCTGTTTGGTTTAGTCCTCAATTCAGCTGTTGGTCAGAGAAAGAGCAGTCCCAGACTCTGATTTTGTTTGGCTTTGTCTGGATGCTCTCATTCTTAAATGTCTGGGTTGGATAAAATAAATGGTAGGTGGTCATTGAGCCTACATGCTTTACATTCTGTGCCAAGGACTCACTGTTAGTGATAGCAGCCTGATTTCTAGCCCTTGAGTGTTCTTTAGCTTTTGCTTCTACTTTCTTTTTAATCAGTACAAAGGAGCCAGAACCTGGAAGTAGTTGTGTTCATCCAGGTGCTTTCTAGCCCTCATAGAAGATTTTGATGGAAAATTCACTTATAAGTAGCAAGACCATTATTACATTTAAATAAAGAGAGGGGAGGAAAGTCAGCTGTGGGAGGAGAAAAGGACAAGGCCCATGGAATATGTGTCTGTTCACCCCTGTTAAAGGAACAGGATTGTTGGGTTTCTCAGATAATGCACTTTGTCATATTCTTAAGAAGGGAAATCAACTCTAAGCTGGCAAAAATGGTGACTGTCTGAAAGCAAATTCAAATGCAGTTCCCAGTAGTTTCCTTATCCATAAGTCTTATCTGAGACTGTTCATCCAGCCATGCAAACTGAGACACTGGTAGGATAAATAATATGTAGATAATTTGTGGCAGGGTAAGAGAGAAGGTGAGTTTGTGAACAATCTAATTCCAGTAGAAGTTGTTTTTTGTATCAATTAATCCCTCTGGTCTGTTTCCATAAAACTGGTAGCTCAATGTACCTGTGGGGAGAATTGGAAAAAAATCACAAAACTTTCAATAGCAGGAATGAAACCCTCTCTTAATGTTACAGGAAAAAACCCTTTATAAAGAAATATTTGGATGCTACAGGGACATGACTCTCTTTAATCTTCAATATTGGTTCTGGGAAAAGGAGGATTTAGATTTCTGTGCTTCTGAGCATTGTAGCCTTGCTTTGTAAAGCCAGAGGAGAAAGGCACTGCTCTGTCTCATGCTGTGTATTCATAGCATACATGAGTCTTTTCTGAGTTTTGCTGGTTTAACATAATGAAACAGTTAACTTTGAACTGAAGACCACCAGCATGTTTTCTCATTTTTTTTTCCTTTTTTAACTGTAGGCTGCAGCTACTTTTGTGATGTTTCCTGTCCAGATCATAACCACTGTAGATTCTCGGGTGGTTCAGCTCGATTATTTGGATGGAAGGCTGCTCATATCTTCACTTACCCGCACTTATTTATGTGATACGGAAAGGCAAGTTCTGTTTTCTTTCTGAAATACTGGACTTCAGAGTCACACACAGTTCCTGAAATGACATCAATGTCTCTTTACCTAGCTCATGCTCCTTCAGTCTGTTTCTGAAGATGTTGGGAGGGGTAGTGTCAAAAGTTTTACTGAAATCAAGATAAACAACATCTGCTGTTCTCCCCAACATTTCATGTTGGAAATGATTTCTGGGAATGTTCCCACCTTCCCATCACTAGGTTGAACAACTGGTTCTACTGAAAAAAACCCCTTTGATCTAAGTATTCATTTCAGCTAATGAATGCACCCTGTCTTCTATAAACTTTGGGTAGGCTTTGTAATATTCATTACAGATTTTTTTAAGCACCAAAAGCAGTTCAGCAGCTGGGATTAAGAAAAGCATAAAATTAATTAGAGCTTTTATTAATGCTGCCTTACTTAACAAGTATATTTTTTCCCCTCTAGAGAGAAGTTCTGGAAGATTGGTAATAAAGAGAGAGATGGAGAATTTGGAGCATGTTTCTTCCCTGTTGGAAAAAACAGTGGGAATCAGCAGCCATTAATATACTGTGCTCGACCTGGCTCGAGGATGTGGGAGGTGAACTTTGATGGGGAAGTGCAAAGCACACATCAGTTCAAGCAGCTGCTCTCATCTCCACCTCTTCCTGTTGTTACTCTCAGGTAGAAACACGAGTGTTATCAGTGTTACACTTGTTTGGGACGTCCTTAAGACTGAAAAGACTAAATCAACTCCTGCTTCAGTCAAACATTAATCCCAGTTGTCATCTTAATACAGTCTCCTCTGAGAGGTGTAGCCAGTAATTATCAAAAATGCCAAAACCTTGGTTCTGCAGCTATGTCTGTGAGCACAATGAATGCTGCTGTTATGAGACTATATTTATTTAAGCCAGCCATGTATTCACAGGATTAAGAACTTTAGAAGGTATTGGTATTGTAGTTATGCTTGTAGTTGATGATAATTTTATTTTGCAGGCATGATCCTCATTATACTGGTTCCAGTTGCTCTCCACAATCTTTATCTTTCTCCAAGCTGCTATATTTGACGTGAGTATTGACAGCATAGCTTCCTGTTGATAAAGTAGGCTTAAAAAATTAGATATTCTCCTAATTTATATTACCAGCTTCAGGGTTTTGCATAAGAATTTCCCAAGTGTCATGCTAAACCTGTCTCACATCTCACTTGCTATGCTTAAGCAAATGCAATCCCTGCATATTTTACATTTTTTTAAAATTTTACCTATTTCATCACAATTGACTGTTGCTTCATTAACATATACTTTAATTGCAGTGAGCACTGTGTGGTGACCTGGACAGAAAGAGGCATTTATGTTTTTCTTCCCCAAAGCCTTCAAGTCTTACTCTGGAGTGAAGTTAAAGGTAAAGTTCTTAAATGTTGCTTTGTAACACTGTCTGTTACACTAGTCATTCCTGAAGTCCTTGCCTAACATGGAAGCTATTCAAGCTCAATTTCTGCAGCTGGATTGCAGAATATTTACTAAAAACTTGTCCTCTATCTGGTATATCCTTGTGTATTAATCATCTCTGTGCCTCCTCCAGCCAACCCCTCCTTCCATAGATCAGAAAACATGCTTCTGGAGAAACAAAACATGGTGTAGAGTGACTCATAAAATACAGTATTTAAAATACAGGTGATTAACCTGCAGTATCTTTTCCTCTTTACTCAGGCTCATTGTCAGTGTCCTGTGAGGGATAATCTGGCTGCTGAAAGTTTAAAACCTGGTTGTTTTTTATTTCCTAAAACCTGCCTAAATTGCATAGAGGGAATATATTTATTTGGCAAATGAGTGAAGCCTCATAAACAGTGGTGTATTTGGTTATAAGCAGAGTCCTCCAGTAGTTATTATCAGTCAGTCTTTCCCCTTCTCTCCATTTTGGTGTTAAGTTTGCAGTACCTTTGTTGTGGAGCGTTTGCATAAAGCATAAGTATTGTATTTGAAAATTTCTGGAAGGCCAAAGTTGTTTTTTTACCAGTGATTGTTTTCCGTCTGTTTTAAAGCTAACAGTTATGAATTTATCATCTTTGTCAGGCTTTAATTTTTCATCTCAGAGCAAAAGGAAACTTTCTGGTGTTTTTAGTGTATTTTGGTATCTGGTAATTTAGTGTATTTTGGAATGTTTTCTAGAAATGCAACTCTGGAAAGTTTTGACAGTGTGTTCTATAGTGATGAGGTGCTAGGTCAGCAGTCCTCAGTGGTTGTTTTCCCCATGCATCTCATGCTCTGCACTCATTTGCAGTCAGGTGGGAATACGCTTTCACCTTCTTTCAGAGACAGTAAAGAGTGTTGATTAATGCCTTCAGTCCTTCAGGTATTGCCCTGTGTGTGGTTTTGCAGATATTCAGGATATTGCAGTTCACAAGAGTGAGTTGTTCTGTCTGCACACAAATGGGAAAGTTGTGCACCTCTCCCTGCTGCCGGTCGATCGCTGCGTAGAGCGTCTGATGAGAAGAGGATTCTGGACCCTCGCTGCCAGGGTCTCTTGTCTCTTCCAAAATTCAATTGTTTCTTGCAGAGTAAGTAAATACCTCTTTAAATAAATGTGCGATACAACTTCACTGTCATTCCTGTCCCCCTCTCCACTAAGTTTCATGGTCACTGAGATTCACTTTGTTGGAGTTTTTTAAGTTATTCAAACATTATACTTTAAGGATGAAAATCATCCTGCACATATGGTATCTTTTGTTTTCACATGTCCATTAGAAATAATAATGCTTCTGTTTCACTGGGTGCTTTTAGGCAAGAAAAAACCTGCCTCTAGACAAGCTGGAGCACTTGAAGTCTCAGCTGGATGCTTCAACCCAACAAGATCTCGCTGCACAACTGGAAGAACTGATTGCAAAGCTGGAACCTCTGGATTCTGCATGCAGCAGTAGAAGGAGCAGTATTTCATCTCATGTACGTGTATTGGTAGTGCCAAAAATGTTATCTACAGGTTTTATCTGTATGGCTTGAAGTCACCCCATTGCTCCCTTGGAAGATGAGGCTTTCATTTCTACCCTGTCTACAACAGCCCATAATGCTGCATTCTAAAACTAGGTGTGGTGAAGAGGTATGAAACACCACTACTTGCATTCTGTAAGCTCAGACCTCTGCCTCTGTCCCACATCATTTTAGGGTTAATGGCTGAGATGTGGACAAAGATTGGTGCAAAGGTGGCTTTTTCCACAGCTCTGTTTAATGTTTTAATGTTCTTCACTAAACATAATCTTGGTTATAACTGTAGTTTTATATGGTGAAAATGAATGTCTGAGTGCTCAGAGCTATCTTAGCCCTATGTAAAAAATTGTTGCACTCTAAGAAGCTTAAGGAGAAAGCTCAAAACAAAAAAAAAAATCAGAGCATATTTCTGATAAATATACAGCTGCTTTTCAAGAAAGGGGAAATATTTCATAGTTGATACAATATCAGCTCCTGCTTTCACTTTAACAGTATTTAAAAGGAAAGTTTAAAAAGCCAAGTAATGTAAATACCATCTTTGATGGTATTTACAAGTTTTTCTTCATTAGCCACTGTGAAAGTAAACCATGTAGACTGACCATGAGCAAAAAAAAGTGTGTTGGTCCTGAATCTGAATTGTTTTGTGGAGTCTGTAATTGTGCTAGCTGGGTATGGCTGACCAGCAGGAGGACAGATTCTTGGGTATGCAGCTACCAAGGGGGGAAGTGACACTCTTGACTGCAGGACTAAAGCTGCAGAGGTGGGTTTTGCCTTGCACTGGGTACACCAGTTGTTCCATAGGCTGCTTTCCTAAAAGCAATTGCAGCACACACATCTCTTTAAAGGCACTGACCTGCACACTTGCTGGCATCTGTGCCCTTTTCCATTCTGGATATGGTAGAAGTACTCTGTTAAACAGAAGTTTTCCAGGCAGGGAATTATTAAATGCTCTGAAGTTGTTTGTGTGGGTACAGTTAGTTGAGTTCATGGCAGAAAGCTGAACAAGGGAGTGCAACTCACATGCTGTGTAACTCCCCTCCTTGGTCTGACAGGAGAGCTTCAGTGTCTTAGACTCTGGAATCTACCGCGTTATCAGTCGGAGGGGCAGTCAGTCAGATGAAGACTCCTGTTCTCTCCACAGTCAAACATTCTCAGAAGATGAGAGACTTAAAGAATTTCCTGCACACCATGAAGATGAACAACAAGAACTTGGTAATGTTTCATAATGAAAATGTTTGTTGAATGTATTTGTTCATTCTACAGGGATTCGACTGCGTTGGCTCTGTGCTCTTACTTTCCACTTTCAAGTTATTCATTATTAATACATGTAATTTGATCAATTGAAAGAGTCACCTCACCTTCCAGCCAAAATCCTTCCTGAAACATTGGGTTGAAAAGCTGCCTCCACAGAATCCTGGCTTAAAAGCAAACAAAACCCAGTGAAACAAAAGGTCCAGAGGGCTTTACCAAGCATGGGCTTCACTCCAACTTCCCCCTCTCCATGTGTAATTGAACATTAGTGCTAAGATTCTTTCAGCTGTCTATACCCATATCAATTGACCTTCAAACAAGATTTGTTTGCTGCCAATATCTTTTTGTAATATTTGTTCCAGAAAATAATTTCTTAGTCTGGATTCTGGCTTAGATTTCTTGAGGGAAAGCAGAAGGATTCTGATAAGTGTCCTTAACTTCTCACAGGGTCTACTTTGTACAGGGGATCATCTCTTGCACATGTAAACATTAGTGGAGGGGTGCTAGAATAGTTAATTACTAACATTTAGCCCATGCAGGGAGCTTTTTTATTTTCTGACAAATGCCTATCACTGGGCTTAAGCTGGAGTGAGACTGTAATGGGTCTTGTTCTCTGCTCTGTTTGGGATTGAGAGGGGATGCAGAAACTTGGGATGAGGAGGAGCTGCCTTGGAACTAAGTGTGATAGAGAGGCTTTCCTATAAAAAGGCTATTTTTTTAACTTTTGCAAGGAGTGGGTGCTGGTTGAGGATGGAGAGAATTTGGATGCTTTGGAGGAAGCCATACTGGGGAGGGAGAGTGCAGAAATTGATATTTAGTCCCCTACTTGTCAGTAGTGTTGTCCTGCTGAGTAAGATACACTTAGGTGTACATGTGCTTCTTTACCTGCATCACTGCAAAAACAAGTGAGGAAACTCTGAAGTACATCATTCCCATCGTTAAAAGTCAAAATTCAGGTGACTTAATTTTTGAATGTCAGAAGATAGAAAGGTTCTGTGTGTTCCACAAGAGATGACAAATTCACTCATTATTTCCAAGCAGAGAAATTCTAGATATTTTTTGAAGCACGAGTACTTGATTTGGTATTTGGAAGAAATGGACCTAGTGTTCCTCTGCTCACAGTGACTTAAGATGTAATGAGTTTTTAGATTTCTAGTCTGCATGATGAACAAAAGCAGCCTTATTTACAGCTAATTGTAAAGTCAGTTGTGACCTTTAGGCACTGTTGAGGGATTTTGCTGGTAGATTTTCTGTAACAGGGCAGCATCTTTTCCTTTCAATGCTGTGGTTACTGCTGACTGTTGCAAAATGCGGTGTCATCCTGACTCTAAATGATCCTTTTTTCTTGTTGACATCACTTAAAGATACAATGTGTGCTTGTAACAGGAAATTACTGAGTAAAACACATTGTAAATACTGTTAGGGATATGGGAGAGAAAAGGAAGTAGTCAGTGGTTCTGTATTTCTTCTGATTCTTGCCAAAAGCCAGAGAGCTGTGGGCTCACTTAGATTTTTAATTCCCTTCAAATAACAAGGTGATTTATATCCTAACCATGGCTTATATGTCTCTCTGTTCACATGTAATTTAGACTCTGGAAATCATGGTCACAACTGACTTTACAATCAGTTGTGAATTGATATATGCCACAATACTTAATTTTCCTAGACGTATAAATAACTCAGTGGATTAAATTAAGGTTTTGTCCTCTAAATGATCTGTAAGTCTAATCTGGGAGATAGCTTTCATACTGTTGTTGATGATTATTTTTCTTGCTGTAAAGCCAAAACTCTGTTAATGAAGCAGACTTAACTAGGTTCAAAGTCAGTAGTGAAATGGCCCTTGAAACCTGGCTTCATGTGTTCTTGAGTATTAAAAAGGAAGGTACAGTGGGCAGGTTATCCATTAATGAATTGGTGACTTGTAGGTCGTTTCACTGTTTCATTTTTTTGCCAGATCACTGTTTCATGACTTTTTATTTCAATTGCATTTGTCAGAGAACGTATCTCATGCATCTGTGGTGGTTGAGGCTGACCGGAATGAGACATTCCTCCCATTCAGTATTCCTTTGTCATTCCGTTCCCCATCTCCTCTCGTCTCTCTCCAAGCTGTCAAAGAAAGGTAAAACGTGCAGCAGGGTCACTCATCCATTACATCTTGCCCTCTTCCGTCCCCTGGATTTGTAGCATTGTGTGGTTTAGTTCACACTCTGTTCTGCAAACGTTCCACCTGAACTGGAACACCAGAGATGCAGTCAGGTTCGCCCGGCAGTTTAAATCTTCATCTTGGCTCTAGTGAAGATACAAAGAGCTGCTGATAACTTCAGTGGAGCCAAGGCTTCAGCCTCAGTTTTAAACAGTTAATAATTGTTACATGTCTAGGATTGTTTACTGTTACCCTGTGAACTCTAGTTGTGGTTTGTATTCAAAGGAAAACTCACTGAATATTGTTTTGGGATTTTGCTCTCCTGTATCTTAGGGGGAAGGCTTCTTGTGTTGCATAGGGACAAACATTAAAACATTCAAAGCAGATAGATATTGCTAAAACACACATGCAAAGTGGTCTGTCCTATCCCCATATGAACTTTTCAGTGAATCTAATTGGTTTCCCAAACACTTATGGAATAATAGTAGCTTATACCTGCTGCAATTAGATCTGTATCCATTTTTTATATAAGTATTTTAAACCTCTTTTAAAAAAAATGGAGGATAAGGGGGTGGGTGTACAAATACAAAGGTAATGGTGTTATATATCTCACTTAAAATTTCTATGAAAGTGCTGTATGTTAATTACTTAGCTAAAATGTCTCTGGCCTGGCAGTGGTCTGAAAAACTGCACAGACTTGATCCCTTGATCACTTCAGTATGTAATTGTGCCCTGCAACAAAGAATTGTTGCTGCTGTCAGCAGTGTGAGGGGCTCAGAATAAACATCAGAAGTACATGCAATGTTTTGTATTCTTTCTAAACCATAAGCAGTCTTGAGGACTTTACTAGTAATAAGTGTTTCTGTTAACAATGAAAGCTACATTTTCAAGTATTCCCTGCATGCAATTAATCATTAAATAAAATACTATCATATTTACAGTTAATTATGTTGAGTTGGGATTTTTTTTCTTTTTTTCTTTTTTTTTTTTTAGTTCTATAGCAGAAAGCAGGAAGCTTATTTGTCTGTCCAAATCTTGTTGACATAGTTCTCTTCATGGCAGTGGTAGAAATAATTGAGTTCTGGTATGTTCAATGAGCTTTCTCTTCAATAAAATACCTGAAGGAATAGGGACTGCTGAGTGAAAAGAATGTTGTTGGTGAGCCTTGTAATCTGAAGAATTATTTTGAAGCATTGTCAAGTGGTTTTCTGCCACCAAGAGTGACATAATTTCCTAAAGATGCTTTATGTTTAAAAGCTTTAAAATGCAGTTTAGCCAACCTGCATTTATTTGCATACTAATCACAAATACATGTCAAAAATCTCTGGCTGATGTTGGTATGGGATCCCGTTTCTCCAGCAGGAGTGTTAAACATTTCAGGTTTCTGTGATGAAAACACAATCGTGACTGGAGTACAGATTTTGAGCACATTCTTAGTAAGTTTTGTCCCTGTTGATCATCACTGCTCTCATCCTTTGCTCAAAAGTTCTTCAGATTATAAAGTCTCTGAAATGATGGTTTGAATGAAAAGAGTGCTTGGTTTGTTTGCTTCTGAACTCCTGATGTTAAATGTTTGAACTTGTGATTCCCAGTGTTTCCAGCTTTGTACGCAAAACCACGGAAAAGATTGGCACGCTTCATATAAGTCCTGAATCTAGAGGGAAGCATGAAGCAAAGGATGATGAGCAGCTGCCAGAACTAACTCTTAATCCAGTAGCATCTCCCCAGGAAGAAAAAGAGTGAGTGAAAATCACATTTTCTTAGCAGTTGTGCAGCATTTGCTGGATGTCCTGAGGACAGAAAAAATTCTTTCAAGCAGAACGAGTAACTTGGCATTAGGTTTTTCCAGCTGCCTTCATTCCTGTGGTGCTTTCAGTGGTTCTCCCAACTCCTTTTTTAGAGCTGATGAGGCAATGAGCACAGAGCTGAGTAATTTCATATTCCAGTGCTTATTTACCACTTTGGACTAACTTTCATACACTTGCATGGTACTGTTTTTGGTTCAGTACCTGCAGAAATCTACTGTAGCTGGAGTAGAAGCAATAATAGAAAGCCACCAAAATAGTACTGTCTGTTGCTCTTCATGCCCAATTTATCCATAATTTCTGTTGAGCTGTTTCTTCTTACAAGTGATAGCTTTGTATTTAATAAAGGAATTAGGGTTGAGGAAGTTTTTCAGGAAATCCTCATGTAAATTATTGAAGTTAATATATCAGATGAGACTGAAATGATTGTGCTTTTCTAGGTCAGAACCCCAGAACTGCCAGCTTCCTGAGGAGGACCATCTGAGAAATCTCAAGGCTGCAACAGCAGAAACTATGTAAGCAGAGGAACTTTTTACTGTATAGATATGTAGGCCTTTGGCAGAAAAAAATGATTCGGTTTTTAAAATTTTAATTTTTTTATTTGTTGTACATGCATTTAAGAGTGATGCTCTAAATGTCTTTAAACATAACCTGAAGGGATCTCATTTGGTGAATAATTTGATTCCTCTTTTTGAAACCAAGCAAAAAGCTAAAAGCTCTTCTAGCATTATCCCTTTGTCTTAAGTACAGGCATAGTTTAAAAAAATCAAAATCACAAAAATTCCTTCTGAAAGAAATCCTAGGGAGCTCAAAATGTGCTGAGTTTAAATGTAGACTGTGCAAAGTAGCCTCAATTCTGTTTGATGCACTCAAAATCACAAAAAAACTAACAACTGAGTCCAAGTCAAGTGTAGGAGTATAGTTACACAAAGCATATTTGAAACTTCACTTGTGGCTTCTTATAATTGTTAAACTTAGCAAACTTGTTTTTTATGCTGCAGAGCCAAGCTCCAGGATCCCCTGGTTTTGTTAGAACCTCAGTGTATGAGAAGGGTCTTACAGGAATGGCTTGTCCATCTAGAAGAAAAATTCAGCCAGGAGCATTCTGCTTTGCCTCTTAAGAAAAACAAGACTGTGTGTGCTGAAGAGCAGAGGGCAGTCCTGGAGGAGAACATGCAAGTGGCTCCAGCTGACAGAGACCCAGCAGACAAGGAACAGAGTGATATTTTGGAAGACTGCATTGAAAAGGAAAATACTGCTGAAACCTGTGTGAGCAAATCCATGTGTGAAAATGGTACTGATGTGTCTGTGCCTCTGGGCTGTGGCTTTCAGCTGTCTCCTCCATGTGCCATTGAGCCTGATGTTCTGAAAGATCTCGTGGAGCTGACGACTCTGTGCTTTGAGCTGCGTGTCTTTTCTGCTGGGAGTGCTGAGGCTGAGGAGAGCTCTGAGGGAAGCCTGCCACCAGCAGCTTCAGGGACCTTGGCTTGTAGGTTTATGCAAAGCTACTTCTTCCTTTTGGATTTAAAGAGAGTAAAGCAGTGTATTATAACCACGTGTGCCACCAGCCCTGATGTATGGGAGACATACATTGCAGGATTGAAAGGTAAATGATGAATGTTGTATTGCTTCTTAAACTGAAAATAAGACTGTTTGGGAGGAAAAAACCCACCAAACTTTGAAGACCCTTATAATTGTGTCTGCAGATTTTCCTTGTGCCAGGGGGAGGATGCTTGGTGTGTGGGAGTTTTTGTTCTGGTTTTGGGTTGTTTGGTTAATTGTTTTTCCCCTGGGTACTTCCCTTGGGAAGAACTTAGCTCAGCTGGTTAGAACACAGTGCTAATAATCCCAGCATTGTGGGTTCAAGCCCTGTATGGACCATTCACTTAACACCTGGTCTTGATGATTATTGTGGGTCTCTTTCAACTCAGAATAACCTGTGATTTCTTAAAAAAAAAGAATTGTTGGCGCCTTGGAGAGAGATTGTTCTCCTTCCACTCTGCAACTTCAAACCTGTTAGTTACAGGGGCCTTGTTAATGGAGCACTGTAGTGATCCCAGCCTGTTTACAAACATATGAGCTTCTAAGAGCAAAAGCATCTAATTAGAATCACAAATCTGTAGAAACAAGGCAGAAGGGAGAGGAGGAGCTTCAGCATTTGCACTGGAAGATTTGGCCTGGAAAGCAATGTAATTAATATGAAACAAAACTGAATGGAGTGGATGGTTCCATGTAGATGAATGGCTTGTGATCACTTCATGCTTCCCTGTTCCACAGAAATACTTTCTGATCTTTTTGATCTCCCTTTAGTTTTATTGAACCAAAGCTTCATGATGATACTGGAAAACAGAATGTTTTCTGTTCTCTGCACTCAGCTTCTGCCTTATGTAATTCTTTTTAAGAGTGAATTAAAGTCTTAGTATTGATTCTGCTCCAGCTGAGAGCAGTTAAACCACACAATCTTGCTTTGAGGGTTGGTGTTTGTGTTTCTGGAAATCCCTTCACTGTTTGGATTCTGAGAGCCCTAGAAAGTAGTGTATGCATTCCCAGTTTGTCCTTAGTTGGACTGCACTTGGGCCTGGACATTAATACCTGCATTTCATTGGGATTGAGGTGGGTGTTGAGCTTCCCATGAAAGCAGTAATAGCTGTTGTTCAGCAGAAGGATGGAAAGGAGGGCCAGGACAGGTTAAAGAAAAAAAAAATGCCCAAATCTTGTAACTTGTGTGCTGATTTATTTCAGAAATAACTTGTCACAGTCCAGTGGCTTTAGCAATGGAAAGTGAAGATATGTTGAAAATATTGAAGCTGCTGCATGACCTGGGGCCGTGGGATGACAGCCCACTGTTGCTGGCACATGCTCAAAGGTTTGTGTCCAAATCTGAACTTCGTGGCAGGAATTGCTTCACTTACCATGTCATGAAGATTCCTGGACTCTCTTAGAGAGATCATCTTTCAGTGCTATCTTGAATTTGCAGGAGATCTTGAAAAATTTATTTTGCTGTTTGGTACTGAAAGTAGGTTTTATTCTCTTTCTTTCTCCAGGCTTTATGAAAAATTTGGGGAAACAGCTCTTCGGCCCTTGATCAAGTTCCACCCCTCTATTTTGCCTTCTGATATTAAACAGCTTTGCAGGAATGATCCAGCTCACTTTTTAGCATATTTAGATAGTCTGGTGAAATCAAAGCCAGAGGACAAAAGGTGAGGGGAATGTAGAATCCTTTTCATCTGTCTGCTCTCTCCATCATGTAGCTGTCTTGGTTTTTTTTTTTTGTTTTAGCTTTTGGGGGCTTTTTTTTGTGTTTCTGTATCTGTCTGCTTTGTGTTCTTAAGCATTAGGTTCCAAGTAATTCTGGCAGTTGTAGCTGGCCTTAGACTGGAGTTTTTGTTAGGTTAGTATCTAGTTTTTAAAGGCATTTACTAAATAACACTTTAAATTGAATTGATTTTTTTTTTCCTATATCTGCAGTCAGTGTACTGGGGTTAGATTGCATTTAAAAAAACTCCAAGCAAGCCAAACAAAAGAACCCCACAAACCCAAAAAAACCCCAAACCAAACGTGTGGGAAGTCAACCTGCAAGCTTGATTTTCTGTGGTTGCCTCTGTTTATAGAGACATAAATTATTTGAGGCTTTTCCGCACTTAATTTTATACCACTCCCCCAGCCCTTTTTTTTTTTTTAATGTTAATTTGTCCACACACAATCTCTGCTTCTCCATATCTGGTATATTTAAAACTGGTAGGATTTTTTTTTAGTGTCTGCTTTGTTTTCCAGGCCATTTCTCCTTAGGTCTCTTCTGCAGCCGGAATCTGTACGGTTGGATTGGCTGTGCTTGGCAGTTTCTCATGATGCTCCACAAAGGGCAAACACTGTGGATGAGGAAGGAAATCCCAGGTAAATTGGTTTCATTCAAGTTCCTGAGTGCAGCAGAAAGGCTTAACAGGTCTGGGTTTGGGTTAGATTTTGTGTGAGAGTTTGGATCATTGACTCTTTGGAGCATTTTGCAGCATTCAGCAGAAACAACCAAAGGATTAAATAACTTTTATTTGCAATGCCTTCCAGAGTGGCTGCTCTGCTGAGACTGCACATGGTGTTTCATTCATTTTTCCTCCTCTCTTTTCATAAATTTGGCATAATGTTCTGAAAAAAATCAATAATGCTTTAAAACTGAATTTCTCATCTTCTAGGCCAAGATCACATTTGTTTACTTGGGGCTACAGCCAGCTCATTCTGCTCTTGATTAAACTTCCAGCTGATTTTGTGATGAAAGAGAAGATGGCTGACATCTGTAAATCACACGGGTAAGGAGAAAACTTGGTAATTCTAGATACTTGGTTAGTAGGTATTCTGACCCTGAGAAGATACAAATGTGAATGACCTATCTGCTTCTTGTTTGGACAGGGTTTTTTTAAAAACCTTTCCTTTTTTGAGGGTGAATATTCCATGTCCAATTTAATGTTTCAAATGGGAGTTATTCCTCTCTGTTTATGACATTCATTAAATTGAATTGCTTTTGTCTTTACTGATGTGATTGTTCTTGACTTTGGTTTGAGTTGAGTATTTGGTTCCTAGAAATCTTTACTCTCTTATTCAAGATTTTGGCCTGGATATCTTTTTCTCTGTCTGGAGCTGGATAGAAGAACAGAAGCCTTTACTAATATTGTTCATTTGGATGATTTGAGCCTGTTGAATGGAGAAGATGGTTAGTAATTCTTAAACTTTTTAAACATACTTCTGTAATGTAGGAATGCCCTTATATAGCAGTTTGCCCAAAGTTGAATTCAACTTTTATCTTTTGAAGTGTTTTTGTAGCCCTGTGTGTAGTACAGCATATTTGAAACACATAAATGGCGTTGTGCTCTTGTAACTTCATGCTGTACTTTGTGAAATCAGTTGTGCTAGAAAATGCTTAAAAGTTAAAGAATCTTGATTTATTTATCAGTTGGGAATAAAAGCTAACCTTGGTGTTGTAGACAGAGGAGTAGGAAGCCTTTTGCACAGCACAAAACTCCCCCACTACATGTGCAGGCACCCAGAGTTAGGGTGAGTGAAGCATTGTACCACAAGGCAGAACTTGTAAGAAAATACACTCTGGCCCTAAGATGGACAAAACTTTATCTCTTGACTTAATCCAAAGCCTCAAATACTGAACTGTTGTGAAGCCATGTGTGTTCACCACTAAATCTTTACACTGAGTTAGGGCAATACATTTCTGTGTACAATTTGCTTGGTTGCCTACAATTTCAGAGCAAAACAGAATAGCTAGCTTCCCTTTTAAGTACAGATACTGTGTACATACTAGGCTAGAATAATCCTTGCTTTACAAATAGTGTAACAAACTCATTTTACATCTAGGTTCCATTCCAGAGACCATAGAAGAATGGAAGTTTGTTCTGCATCTTGCACAGAATCACAGCACAGCTTCCCAGCAGCACAGCCCACAGAACGGGATCGCTGTCAGCAACGGGGGCCCGGGCTGCCCTGACGGCATCACGGTGGAAAACATCGCTCTGCTGCTGGCCAAGGCCATCGGCCCCACCCGAGCTGTGCCTCTCTTGCAGGAGTGTGGCTTGGCACTGGAGCTGTCTGAGAGGTTTACTGGTGTCTGTGAGATACTGAGAATTGCTGAGAAAAGGCAGAGGTGAGAGATGTCAGATTCTTTTTGGATTTCCTCCATGCTTTAAACTTTTTTCTTGGTTTACAAGAAGATATAGTGCTTCACATTTTTACCTCTTTTAGACTCATCTGAAAGCTTTCCTCCTATTTTAGACTCATCTGAAAGCTTTCCTATTATTTAAGTGTTTTGCAATGTAGTCATTTTAAATTTGAAAATGAGGAAACAGAAAATCATACATTAAAGGTTTATGTGAAGAGGTTGTTTGAAAGAGATCTGTCCTGCTGGGACCTGTACAGACTCTGATCTCTCCTTCTCCTTTCAGAGGTTTGAATGGTAATGTCAGGATGTTACTTCTGAAATGCAATCATATTTTTTACAAATTTCTCTTTAAAAAGCAAACCAAAGCTCTGCTGTTCTTTCTGTTGTTAGTTTTTGTACTGTTTGACTTTTTTTGTTCCCTTTGTTTTGTTTGCAGAGCGCTGATTCAGTCCATGTTGGAAAGGTGTGACCGGTTTTTGTGGTCTCAGCAAGCATAGAAAACAACTTGGGAGAACTCTGGGAACATTTTATACTGCCATGACTGTATATTCAAGTGCCTCTTAAATTTCACAGGCCCTTAAAAAAAACAAACTCCTGTCTAAAAAGTTCAGTTATACTGAGCCAATCTCCATCTGGCAGGTATCTGGACCTGAAGTGGTGACAGTTCTTCCTTATTCCTTTGGAGAAGACTTTTGAACTGTAGAATATAGATCGAAACAAGCCAGTATTTATCTTGAAATTAAGCTTACAGATTTCCAAGATGAAAATTGCTGAATTTATTTTCTGAGTCTATAACTTAAGTGTTCAGGGATATGAGCCCCTAAGTATTAAATTATGGTGTATAAAGTTTTTTTGCTTTTTTGTTTGTAAACATGAGAAATTCCTCGGAGGTATCTAAGCCTATACTTGTTTAACTTTCCTGTAAATGGCATTTACCTTTACTGTTGCTGTAGAAGTGTCTGTTATGGTACCCATTGGTTTTTTCCCCTTCTTAAATTATATGGACAGGCCTTAACTATTTGAAATATGTTATTTAAGCCAAGTCTTAAAATGGGAGAGTAATATTTTTAAGTAGTGGATTTATATTAAAAAATGCTGTTTAACAGGCAGACTTGTTAAATTAACTCACTGTTAAACTACAAACACAATATTTCTAAATTGCCCATGCCTGTCTGTGCACTGTGACCATAGACATCCATTGTGATACTCCAGCAAACCTCGGGACAGTGGATCAGAGTCATTTAAGTTGCAAAAGACCCTGAAGATCCAACCCTCCAACCATTAGCCTGCAACCACTGCCAAATCCACCACTGAGCCATGTCCCAGAGTGCCACATCTACATGGCTTCTAAATGCCTCCAGGGATGGTGACTCCACCACTTCCCAGGACAGCCTGTTCCAGTACTGGACAATGCTTTTGGTGAAAAAGTGTTTCCTGATATCCAATCAAAAGTTCTCCTGGAGCAACTTGAGGCCATTTCTTCTTGTCCTATCCCTTGTTACATGGGAAAAAGAAACCCAGTCCCACCTGGCTCCAGTCTCCTTCCAGGCAGGTGCAGAGAGCAGTGAGGTCTCCCCTGAGCCTCCTTTTCTCCAGGCCGAACACCCCCAGCTCCTTCAGCCTCTCCTCACAGGACTTGTACCCCAGACCCTCCACCGGCCCCATTTCCCTTCTCTGGACTCACTCCAGCCCCTCAATGTCTTTCCTGCAGTGAGGGGCCCAGAACTGGACACAGGATTCAAGGTGTGGCCTCACCAGCACAGGGGGACAATCCCTGCCTGGTCCTGCTGGCCGCACTATGGCTGATCCAGGCCAGGGTGCCCTCGGCCTTCATGGCCCCCTGGGCACCGCTGGCTCATGTTCAGCTGCTGTCAGCAGCACCCCCAGGTCGTTTCTGCCCAACAGGGTCCCAGCCCCTGTGCCCCAGCCTGTGGCCCTGTCTGGGGCTGTTGTGCCCAAGGCCAGGCCCCGGCCCTTGGCCTGGCTGACCCTCACACAGCCAGGCCTCAGCCATCGCTCCGGCCTGTCCAGATCCCTCTGCAGAGCCTTCCTGCCCTGCAGCAGATCAGCACTGCCACCCAGCCTGGTGTGTCTGCAGCTGACTGAGGCTGCCCTCCATGCCCTCATCCAGAAAACTGATAAAGATTTTGAACAGGACTGGGCCCAGCACTGAGCCCTGGGGGCACCCCTGGTGACCGTACCCCAGCTAGATAGAACTCCCATTTCCCTCCGCTCTCTGGGCCTGGCCATCCAGCCAGTTTTTTGGTTGGTGAACAGTCCATGTGTCCAAGCCATGAGCTTGGACATGAGTTTCTCCTGGAGAATGTTGTGGGAAACAGGTTTTCTTGAAGTCCAGGTCAACTTTGGTAATTCCACAGTTAATTCTGACATTTTGGAAAGTGAGAGGCCTTATTTTAATAATATTTTTAAAAGCTGAAGGTTCACATAAGTATTTTTAGATGAATGCTGTCAAGAAAGAAGTTTTTTTTATGTATCTGGTTGAATATGAAGATTCACAAAATTACTTGGATTTTATATCTCATTTACATAACTCTGCTTTGTACTCGCACTCTTTCTGCATTTAATACATCTTTGAATGAGTTTCTTTTTTTGAGTTCTGGTTTTGATCCTCTTCACTGTATGACTCATTTTAAGCAGAAATTCACAGCATCTGGTCAATATTCAATTTTCACAAATATCATTTAAATAAAAAAAGTAATGCATTAATTGGAACTAAATTTAATTAAAACTTGATAATATTGTTGTAAAATGATGTGAAAATACTGCTTTATAAGGAATCTTTTTATGTGGACTTGCACCACTTGTATTGGTGCAAAATAATGCTTTTAATCAAAATAGGACTGAGTACAATGTTTGGCCTTTTGAGAGATGCAGTCTGCAGAATATTTCATTTTGTCAGCAAGAAAAATTTGAGTGTGGTGGGTTGGTTACTTAACGTGGGGAAGGGAAATTCCAGGGTCACAATGCATGTCAGGCTTGCAGCCAGACTGTTGCTTGTGGAAATGCCAATACACAAAGCTTAAAGCTTCTGGGGTTTACACACTGCCATTGGAAATAGAAGGCTCTGTGCCATCAGGAACACCCCGTGCTCTCACAGTAAGGCTTGCAATGGGAGGCAGGCACCTACCAGATGGTGTTGGTGCCTGTTCTGTTCCCTGCCACATGAGCTGCTGCTGCCTCAGGGGCTGCCACAGTTACCCACCTCGGGCTCATGCAGTGGGTGGTGCAGCTGAGTGCTCCCCTTGCCTTCCTCAGGATTTCCTGGAATTCTGAGAATGTGCCTGGCTTACCTCTCTATGGTTCCACTCTATTTGCTTGGTGTATTTTGTGCACACATCAGTCTCTTATTTCTGTGGGGGTTTTGTACACGTGGTTAACTTTGACTGAGGGTTGGGGCCTATTTTTTTTTTCAGTAAATCATAATTCCAGTTAGAGCCTTTAAAAAACAATAAAATCATGTCAGAAGGGTCATGCAGATAACATAATGGGAAGTGTGTGTTCAGATTTTGTGTCTAAAGTGATCTTGTGTTTATCATTTCAACTAACTTGGCTGTGAGAGAGTGAGAATGTGCTCTCTGAAAGAAGAATTGGAAAATTAATGTTTCCTATTCTGGATGAGTTTGTTTTCATCTCATGGGTAGGTGAAGGGACTGAAATGAGAGGGTCTTCTGTTCAGAAATGAAACAGAAGCTGCCTCAGTTGCACAGAGCAAGGCTACTGTCAGCCAGCTGAGCACATCACTGACAGCTCAGCCAGCCTCATGGGGAAGATGAGCTGCAGCTCAGCTTTGGCTTTTTTGGGTGGCTGGTGGTGGTGGGAGAGACCCTTGAGAAGCAGAGATGAATAAAGGGGGCTTAGCCTGGAGCAGCTTTAAATAGAAACTGCTGCTGGTATTTTCTTTTTATCAAAGAAAAAAGTATCATCATTATTTCACTATTAGAAACCTATGGGTAAATCAATTTTACTTCAGATTAATACCTGCATTTTCAATCTGCTGCTTGAAAGGGGACAAGTTTCCAATTGTTCTCCATGTCTATAAGCCCAAAGTCACTGGTAGTGTATATTCAATACTTGGCAAAACTCTTGAAATTAATTATTGCACGTGTAAGCATAAAAAGGTACTGTTCTTTCCCAGATTAAGAAATATCTGCAGATATTACTGTTCCTGAGCTGGGAATTCACCTCATCCCCTTTCTCAGATTGCAAAATTGTGGAATGTTTGAGGAACATAGTTTGCATTCATAAATATTTACAGTTACAGGGCAACCAGCATGGGGTTGCTTTTTATCTTAACTGCATCAGAATGTACAAACCAAGACATGGTCTCCAGGCCCCCTCAGGGTGTTGTTCCCCAGTGTGCACATGCTGCCAGTGTTTCTTGCTAGGCAGGAGGAAATGCTCTGTTCAAACTCTCCTCCACGCTTCTCCTCTCTGTGTTGTGAAAGCAGCAGTGTTGGCTGCAGCTCATTTCTGTCAGCCAAGGGTCATGACCTGGAGTGCAGGACAAGGAGATATGGTGTCACATTCATATTTTCTGAAAAATCCCTTTGCCCAGGAGTTTCTCCTGGGAAGATGAGAAGCCTCAGAGAAAAAGGAAAATAAATTCTTACCTCATTTGTTTCTCCCGTGTTGTGGTCACATGTGGAATGTGTTTGGAGCTTGTTTATCCGAGTGATGATGGCTTCATTGGTTTCATGTGGATCATTTTGACTTATTGGTCAATTATGGTCAAGCTGTGTCAAGGCTCTTGAAAGAGTCACGAGTTTTCATTATTATCTTTTCAGCCTTCTGTAAGTATCCTTTCTCTACTCTTTAGTATAGTTTTGTTTAGTATTCTTTAATATAATATAGTATCATAAAATAATAAATTAGCCTTCTGAGAACATGGAGTCAGATTCATCATTCCTTCCTGCCCCACAAATACAATAATTCAGGAAAGCAGGGCTCAGGCTGTTCCCTGCTGGAGCCCCGAGCTGCACCTTTATCTCAGCTCCAGCATTGTTGTCACTGCTGCTGTCCTCCTTGCTGGACACCAGGGGATGCACTCTGAGATGTCCTAAAGAATCCCTCTAGCACCTGCCTTCTTGCAATTGTCCTCATGTTTTGCAGAAATGCATTTTTTGTCCTCATTGTCCTTCGTGTTGTGCAGAAATGTTGGTTTGGAGAGAATGTGAAAGAGTGTAAGATTCAAAATATCCTCTACAGTCCAGAGTGTGTGAGCTCTTGTAGGGAAAGGGTTCCTTAGGTCAGTTTTGAGGGCAATGCTTTGTTCCAAGTCCCTGGGCAAAGTGCCACATGCCTGTACCCCAACTTACAGGAGTCATTCTCCTTGTTTTGTAAAAACCAAAAAGGTGATGGCCGGGGCTATCTGTAGCCAGCAGAGAAGGATTTGAGCTGCTGTGTACTGCAAGGGTGTGGATCATCAGGCTGTGAGCTGGGTTGTAGCAAAGCACAGCACTCCAGTCCCTGCAGTGGCTAAGCTGTTACACTGTTAAGTATCAGCTTCAGGAGGACAAAAATCTTTGTCCTTGTGCTTCGGGTTTAGATTCTTGTTGCACAGTGTTCCATTCTGAGATACATCATGCTACAGAGTATTGTCCTGCTTCAGGTTATGGAAAATGTCTCTGCTCCCCTTAAGCTAATTTTTTTTCGACTGAAGTCCAGTGACACCCAATAACAGTTACTGTTGACACTTATATTAACTTTATTGCACCTCTTCCAACTCATGCCTGTGCCCTGCAGCTCCAGGAGCAAATTGTTCCCAGTAGCAGAGTTGTGTGTGGGGCAGCTGCCCTTCACTCTTCAGAGGGGCACCTGAAGGGCTCTCCTGGACTCACCAAATCATGTACAAGGGCACACAATGGGGACACCTCCTGCACACTCACTCGAGTGCAACTGCACTCAGCCCTGGAGTTTTCTGCAGGGGAAAGGGTTGTGTCAAGCTGTTAACCAAGGGGAGTGAGCAGGCTTTAAGCAGGGAGAGCACAGTGGGTACTTAAACAGTGAACCATGCCAATAGGGCCAGACAGTTGATTTAAAGTCTAGCAGAATTGTGGCTGTATGGATCTGAATTAAGTCAAATATTTACTGCTACTTCCAAAATTTTCCACCTGAGCCCCATGGAGCTGCTGTTGCAGCAAGGTAGCTGGAGACCCTTGAGAGGGGCCTGTAAGAGCAAGCCAAGGCAAAATGAACCATTCAGAGCCTCTCGATGGTCTGTGTGTCTGTGCTATCTTAGATCAGCAGGGATGTAGGTGTATATGCTTTGCTTTGCAATGGAGTTAAGAGCAACACTTCACATTTTCCATTTCATTCACTCTGGAATTCATCTGGCAATCCCAGCACGCATGGGAATTTCACTTAGCAGTTTATGCAACCCTTCTGGTAACATTCCTTGTGCACAGACACAGACCTGGCCTCATGCTGCAATGTGCAGGCAGTCAGGCACCTTCTCCTCCCAGCTCTGTTCAGTCCAAGATCCAAACATAAGCATCACCCTTAAGATACCAGTAACACTTGAAGCACATGGAACTCTTCAGCCTTTAAGGCAGTTTGTCAGTCTGGTTGTTATGAGGAGCAAATAGTCCCAAAGACAACTGAAGAAGTGTCGTAAAAGAAGCGCCTCTAAAAGATTGCGTAACAGGAGCTGTGGACTTTCAGTAAGGACAAGTTTCCAGTAATGATTTCTGTGTTGAAAGTTCTGGTGGGGATTTCCCAGCCATGGGTATCCTTTCCAGTTTCCTCTTTTGAAGGGTTTGAATTGCTTATAAATACCCTCTTTGAGTCTGAGAGCACACAAGACCATCTCCATCTCCTTTGGCTTTGCTGTTCTGCAGTGGTGAGTGACATTCTGAATTTGTGAGCTGTGTGCAGTGTTATGAGCTGGTGTTTTGGGAGCAGAACCAATGCTTTAGCATGTGGGGCTTCTTTGTACTCATGGCAGGAGCAGCAGGGAGTGCTAAAATGCTGGTTTCTCTTGTGCACCTGCTTTTGTTGTGGAGCTTGTGGTTGCACAGAGGGCACCACTCCTTGCAGGGGGAGAAGGGGGTCCTGGGTGAGCCCTCAGCACTGAGGCAGCAGCCCAGACAGAGCTGGGGGTGTGGTGGGTTCTCAGTGGTGCTCCAGAACTGCTCATCTCTCTCACTGTCTCCCAGCTCCCTGCCAGGCTTGGCCAGGAACCATGAGGCTCTGGGTCTGCATCGTGTTGCTCTCCGTTGTTCTGTGTGTGAGTGCTGAGAGACCAAGGATAGTCCGAGGAGTAGCCCAGGCCGGAAAATTTGCCCGGGATGCAGTGGGAGGTAAGCTGCTGTAACCAGGGGCCCTTCCCTCAGGAACCCCTCCCCAAGCACAGGCTACCAGCAGTCAGTGCTGCAGCCCTCAGAGCTGGGAAATACTCAGCTCCACGTTAGAGACCGCCTGGTTTCTGCTGCTGGACGAGGGCCTTGATCAGTCCCACAGGTGCAAAGATGTCCCCTTTCTGTGCAAAGATGATGTGGGGCAGTGCCCCACTCTGTTACTGCTCCTTGGGCCTTTCAGCTCCTGGCTGAGGTAGTACCAAACTATTTCTGGTGTGACTCTTTCAAGTTAAGGTTGTTTCTGTTTCTCTGCCTTCTTCAGGAGCATGGGATATGTACAGAGCATACAGGGACATGCGTGAGGCGAATTACAGAGGTGCTGACAAGTATTTCCATGCCCGTGGGAATTATGATGCTGCCCGGAGAGGACCTGGTGGTGCTTGGGCAGCGAGAGTGATCAGGTAATGGAGTGTGCTTGGCTTGTTAACAGTGAGTTATTGGGATCCAGGCATTCCAGCTGCAGTGAGGTCCTTTCAGACTTGTACTCAGCTTAGTACCTAGAAGGACAGCAGAGGGGAGGGGAAGAATTTCCCACCTGGACAGTCGGTCTCTATAGGAATGGTGCCACATGAGCATGAGCCTTTCTTCTTGTCGGCCCAAGAAGGCAGATTGCTCTCTCTGCATTTCTGATAAGGAACTTTCCTTCATTGCTGGTTCATTTACCGACATAACAGATAGAGATTCCACCATGGGCTCTCAGACAAAGGCCGAGCATGCTCTTGTATCTCACCCTGAGAAGCCTTATGGAAACCACGAGTGAGGGAACCCACACAAGGCTGAGTTAGATGCAGAGTGTTCAGGTGCCTTTTCTCCTCCCCACAGCGACGCCCGGGAGGGCTGGCAGAGCGGCGTGAGCGGCAGAGGCGCCGAGGACACCCGGCAGGACCAGGAGGCGAACAGATGGGGCCGGAGCGGCGGGGACCCGAACCGCTACCGGCCCAAGGGGCTGCCCAGGAAGTACTAGCGCTGTACTCCGCTCCTGCCACACCTCGCTTTGTACTGCACAATAAAGGAATCCTCCTGAGAACTGTCCCTTTCTCTGCGAGCGTCCATCCTCCCGGGGCGCTGGACTGGGGGGGCGGCCGTGTCGGTGTCGGGGCATCAATGGGGCTGCCAAAGGGACCCCATTGGGACCCTCGGGGTGCCGCTCCCCGCCGAGGGAAGGCCCTGGGCGGGTGGGTCTCGGTGCGATCCCGGCGCGATCCCAGCACGACCCCGGCATGGTCCCGGCGCCATCCCGGTACAGGCCCGGGCGCGGGAGGCGGCAGTGGCCGCCGGTGGGCAGGGGGCGCTGTGGGGCCGCGGGCGCCGCTCCGGCCGCGCCGCCGCCTCGCTGCTCCGCACGGCTGTGGGGCCACCATGGACCGCAATCCGTCGCCGCCGTGCAGCGATGCGGAGGAGGAGGAGGGGGACGCGGTGGGCAACACGGTGTACAGCAAGCACTGGCTCTTCAGCGTCCTCACCCGCCTCATCGAGGTGCGCGGCCGCCGGGAGGGAGCGGGCGGCGGGCCCGGCGTCGGTCAGCGCTGGGCGGGCGCGACGCGATCGCTGCCAGGGCCGGAGGGGACACGGGGGACCAGCCGGGACCAACCTGGGGACACAGCTGGGATTCACAGGGCACAAATCCGGGGCCGGGCGGGAACACAGTGGGAAAACACTGGGCGGGAACTCCCGGGTGGCGCCGGAGCCTCAGTCGGGTCGTTGTTGCCCGCCCCGCTTGTCCCAGGTCATCGCCCCCGCGGAGCCGGACCCCGGCGCCAGCCCCGAGGGAGCCCGGACGGAGCTGGACGAGGAGATGGAGAATGACATCTGCAAGGTGTGGGACATGTCGATGGACGAGGTAGGAGCCTTGTGCGACACCTCGGGCCCGTCTGCCCCGAGTGTCCCGTCAGAATGGTGCTGGCAGCGGGAGAAGGCAGGGAATCAGCCGGCTCGCTCGTTCTGGAGCTGCTGCCCACGCCCGGGTGTGTGGCAGGACAGCTGGGCTGGGGCGGCACCGAGCGGACTCACCTCGGAGCTGCCCTGGGGAGAGGAGCAGGGCAGGACAGCAGCTGGAATTAACTGGGGTGCACAGCCTGTGCCTTCAGCACTTGGATTGTGGGGATAGTACTGGTGCCATCTCTGAACAGGGATATTTTCCTCTAGTAATTGCCAAACGTCGGGATGGTAAGCATAGCTTTCTCTGATAGATGAACAGCCTTTCAAAGTTTAGCTGCAGACTTGCAGTGGCAGTGTAACACTTAGTATTATTTCTCAACACTCTCAAATGCTGGAACAGATTCTTGATATATATATATATGTTAGTTTAAGTATTATTTTATTCCCTACCTTGTTGCTCAGATTTTTCAAGTAAACATGGAAATGGGTCTTTTACTCCCAAACAGAAAACTAATCTTGTGTTTTAATGTGGTAAAATGAAGAAGAGATTTCCTCTTGTGTGTTCCAGTCAAGTGCTAATGACAGTTCCTTCACTTGCTTCTTTTTTATATGTCATGGTGATGTCATGCCTTAAAACATGATATTTACTGAATTCTGGTTGAGTGTCTGTTTCTGTTGAGATAGGCAGCAATTTGCATTTCCTTGCAAATGTGACTTTTTAGCTCATTCTACAGCAAATCACTGGCATACTGAACCACCAGAGGGGCTTGCTGGCCTTCTCTCATTGAAAAACAAGGATTATTGGTATTAACTGTTGGCAAATAACAAATTCCTTGTAGTGAGTTTGTCATCTCTTTGATCCAGTCCTTGTGCTGTGGGAGCATGTTTGATTTTGCATTTGGAAATTGCAGAGGCCCATTTACTTCTCCATCCACTTTCTCCACAGGATGTTGCTTTATTCCTTCAGGAGTTCAATGCCCCTGATATATTCATGGGAGTGTTTGCCAAGTCCAAATGCCCTCGGCTAACTGTAAGTATGGACTGCCAAAAAGCTCTCCTGTGTCAATAGAAATAGTAGATTGCTCTGTACATGCATTTACATTTATCTCCCTTCTCCCATTGCAAGTGTAATGTATAAGGAGAACCAGGAGAAAACATAAAATCAAATTGTAAAATGCTTTTTCACTCTGTTTTTAACATGCTCTAATCAGTAAGAATTTTGGTGGTGCTGAAGCTGGTACCTGTCTGCTCACACATCCTCATCTAGATACACTGATGAAGGCCTGAGTTTATCAAACAGTTACAGGACCTTTTATAAAACCTGTCTGGCCTTTTTTTCCCTTTTGACTTGTTTCATGATTACTGAACAGAGATTGCCATGAATTTGTTTAGTCAGACCTGGAGAAGTGTGGCTGGAGGCCAGGTGCCCCCCAAAGCTACTCTGTCACTCCCCTCCTCAGCTGGACAGGGGAGAGAAAATACAACAAAATGAGTCAAGATAAGGGCAGGGAGACATCACTCACCAGTTGCTGTGATTTGTCATGGGCAAAACAGACCCCACTTGGGGAAATTAATTACTGATCAAATCAGAACAAGATAATGAGAAATAAACACCAAAAGATTACAAAAAGTAATCTTTGGAATTGTTAAGACACCAATACTTTAATTTTTCTTTTTAATTTTCCACTTGTTTTGATGTCACTGATTTCCAGCTAGTGCTACACAGTGCACTGCAGGCCTCAAAATGGGATTTTCAAAGGTATTCAGTGTTGATGTAAATCCTCTTTCTCAGAAGTTACCAGATGCTTTACTCCGGATCAGTAGAGACAAATGGAGCTTTGGAAGTTTAGTACTTTGTCTTTGGGAAGTATAGCCCCAATTTGCAAGTGAGTGCAAGTTGGCTGTCACAGCTGCTGTCATGAAACAGTGTTTGCTGGAGTGCCTGCTGGAATGTAGCAGAGGTTATAGCATGTTCATAATTAAGAAGACAACCTTAGTGGAGAGAGTTGATTTCTGACTTTATATTGCTGCAAACTGACTCACTTTGTTTTAGCACCAGTCACCTGCAGGTGTTTCACAGCTCTTATGGTCCTCCTTACACAAGTGTGCATCCTCTTAGTGATTACCTGGCATGAATATCCTAATGGGATGCACTGCTTTGGGGCTTGTTGTTTCTTTTGTTTTATTTTAGATCTCTTTATTCAGAAAGTGGGCTTTGCTGGAAGCTTGTATTAAGATCCCTTTCTATTGTGAGCAAGTGAATTGTCATGAGGGTCAAAAATATCATTTATGTAATGATATTTTTGTTTTAGGATTCCTTTTTGCTTTAATAACAGGGCTGTCAAATTAGCTTCAAAACTGTATACAAAGAATATGCAAGCAGAGCTGATTTCAAGATACATTTGCTTTTATGGAGCACCTAAATATCTGCATGGTACCTGAGAGTATTTTAGGCTAGTCTGATAGAACAGAAAAATCTGTATGGAATCTGTGGAAAAAATTGTATCTTTTTCATGAAATCAGCAGGTCATACAAGCTTGGAAGTCAAACCAGAAAACATCTTTGAACCTCTCTTGCTTTTGTCTTATGGCTCTGGAAGTGAAATTGTGGGCTTGCAGTTGTTTCATTACACTGTGTTTTGACTTTCCAGGAAATCTGTGTGGGAATATTAGGGAATATGGCCTGTTTCCAGGACATCTGCATGTCCATTAGCAAAGATGAGAATCTCGGGTGAGTGTCTGTGTGCTTTGTACATGAACAGGTACTGCTTGTCTGGACTCACAATCAGGAAATTCATGTTGGAGAAGGATCTAAGCTTGCCTGCCCAGCCTCATCTTCATTCATAACTTTTGGCTGGCCATGTTTGTGTGGGAAGTGCTCAGGAAAGGAAGAAAGGACCCAGACCACTCTTTTTGGGGCTTTTTAATTACTAGTCAAGCTAGGTTTTAAGTTTGGTGGTCTTGAGACACTGGAAGTGCATGCACAGTTAGGAAATCTGCCATTAATCTCAGAACATGGCTGAAGTTATGAAATTAATATTTTTATACCTTTTTTAGAAATAAAAATGGATTTTATTAACTTTTTTTCCCCTGCATTTTCTCCTTAAAGCCAAGTGTTACTGCAACGTTTGTGTGATTCAGACTCCCCAACCCTTCTGGAAACAAGCAGGTAGGACATCTCAGGAACTAATGCATCATTAGTGTCGTTCTGCTGTGCTCTGAGGCCTGGGGAGAAAACTGACAAGTGGTCTCACTATTTTATTATCCTCTCATCCTTTCCTTTTATTGTTTCTGCATTATTGTGAAATCACTTTGCTGTTAGATTCCTGTTTCTGTTTCCACTGTCATTATTTTGGATTTACACTGGTACAGCTAAAAGGAGTGAACTGGTTTCTAATTTATTAAATGTGGAATTCTTGCCCAGGTTGTTGTTAACTTGCCTCTCCCAGCCTGAGGTGGCCAATGTCTGGGTGGAGAGGATCCGAGAAAACCCCTCTGTGTACGACTGTGTTTGCTTCATCATGTCCAGCTCTACAAATGGTAAGGTGCCAGAACAAGCTGGGATTTAGTGGGTGTTTGCAGAAGATTTCAAATAAAAATTTCAAATACAAATGTTTTCAGTTGGGTTAATTTCTTTAAAATAAAGGAAAACTCGTGAGCTTAAAGGACACCAAAACAAACTCACCCTTCATTTGCAGGTTTATACATATATAAAAAACCAACCAGAAAAGCACTTACAGAGGAAGAAGAAAGCTCTGGGGGGGAATAAAAATATGTTTAAGTTGAAGAAATTGTTATTTTCCACAATAAAAGAAAATATCTCATTCAGGGATATACACTTGTCATTTTTGAATCTTGAAACAAGACCTCATTTAATTTGTTTTTTTCAAGTCAGATATGGATTTTCTGTTTTAAAGCTAGTGAATCTCTGGAATGTGAACTGGAGGAACAGTTCAGTTACCCTGGCAGCTGAATACTGTTCAGGCTTTGGGTATGCAGAGAGTGCTACACAAATCTCTCTTAGCACTAATTTAGCAAAAACCACACCAGCCATCTAAAAATGGAAATATTTTCAATAGCATTTATGTTTAACATCCAACTCAGCTGTAACAGTAGTTGTCATTTGCAAGAATCCTAACAATACAGCTTTTCCAATTTTTAATACATTTTTAATGCCAATTCTCAGAAATCCTGCTCCATCCAATTGAAATAACAGACCTGTGTAAGTAAAATGCAGATTGGCAGGTGGATGATTAGCATAAAACTGCATATCTAGGACCAAATCTTGAAAAGTTTTACTTCAGAAGCAGAAGTTAGGACTTCTCAGGAGCATAGCATCTCTTTGCAGAATAAAGTT